CGTCCATCTGTGCCAAATAGTCAGCGACATCATCCACAAGCTTTCGTTTACAGAGACATTGGAAGTTACCAAATCATCTTCATTCTCCAGAGGTGATGCTGCATAATCGGCTGTATTCGAAGATTCGGTAGTCATCTTTCTTGGCAGTAAGACGTAGGTGTGGAGAGGAGAAAAGGTGGACGTGACTTGGTAAGAGGCGGTGTGGGGGCTCTAAATAGGTTTCCCCCGACCAGGACAATCGCTTAGTGACTTATCACGCAGGTGGTCTTCGAATACATGTTTATTGGTGTTGGCTTGGAATGGGTCAGGCCTGTGGATTGTCACGGCTTGGCTGTTAGAAATCATTTACCCCTCATCTTGTGCCACACAGCCGCATGACACGCTCGCCAAAGTCCCATAGACATTCATCAATCTGATTTGGCCTTCTGTAATTTCCTTGCGACGTGTAAAGTCTTGAGACGTCTTCATAGTGCATCCGCTACTGCTACTAGGCCGCTACTGCTACTAGGAGACACACGGGGAAAATAAATGGTTGTCTTATGCATTTAAGTTCACTTTCTCGCGACCTTTCTTACGCAAGGCTTTCTTTTCGGCCTGCGCAAGAGCGTTTGCCATAGAACCTTCTGTTGGCAACATCAAACCCGGAGATTTCAAATACTTGTGTCAGAACCATTGCACTATTGCTCCGGCCTCTATTATAGGTCGCGACTTGGCCTATCATTCAAGATTTGTAAAGTTACCGAGGGTGCCACATGTTATCCAGCTTGATCTTTTTTGAGAAAGGTTCTTCGTCTCCCTAATGCCCGAATCTTCCTCAAGAGGTATAACGGATTTCTACCTTGATTTACCTTTCAACAAACAAAGTTGTTGGGTAGTGTATATTAGGTTTGTGGGCTTTCTGGCATTTTAGGATTAGGTTTCATCGGCCCAACACCTCTGTGGCTAGCCTGATGCCATCTTTCTGCTGACCTTCTAGTATTTAAACACAAATATGATGCATAACATGATAAGCAACGATTGGATACTTTATTATTCATATTCCGCTGAAGAAGAATCACCATGATCTGCGAATTTCGTCGCTTTTCGCTACTCCCGCCCGAGCTCCGCACTAAGATCTGGGACCTTGCAACTAGACCGGCTGGCTTTCGCGGGGTTCAGTATTTCTCAATCTTGCCACTCCATAGACCTCCCGAAAGATTTCAGCATCATGTTAGCAACCGGCTGCGACCACAGCAGAGCTTTCTCTTGGGTCCTCCTATGCCCACTAACGAAACAGCGCAGCCATCGTGGAACAACAGCGAATCTACATATGCGATCGACAGCGGGTTGTGGACTGCTTGCAAAGAATCTCGCGCGGCAATGTACCGCCGTTATAGGCCAGAAGAATGGTCCGACTTCTTACAGCAGCTGAAGGAAAAGCCGCACCTGCGTTGGGACATTGTGTATTGGAGGAACCCCAAACATTTCGATACGTCAGCGACATTCATGGTGAACGACATACATACCAATCGGTTTGTAACCGTCCTCCCGGCACAGGACCTCATTTTCATACAACCCTACGACCGCCCATTCAACCCTGCATGCATTTACGATTCGATGCCATTCGCTGCAGGGGACGCTGCTGGCTTTGGAGAATTATCCAACGTAGCCCTGGAATTCGATCCTTCATGGAATGTAATGGAGCTTCGGGAGTATCAGCGACAATGGAAAGCAGCTGTGCTGGATGATGAAGCCTGCCTGGCGCGTTTTCCTGATCGACCCAAAACGTACGAGCGATACGATACTTACGATCAACTGGTGACGGTCAGTCAGAGGAGCTGGACACAAAGTACAAACTTCTGGCTTGTGGATCGTCGACTGCGCCGAAAACGATCACCACCGGCACATGAACATCTTGAGAAGGCTCAGATTGTTTTTCATGGAAACGATTGTCGATTTTTCGCCATGCCAGCAGGCCGCGAGGATCAATTCTGCTATTACACACCAACGAAAAACCAGAACCTTGAAACGATTTGGGACTTTACTTTAGAGTTGGATCGAGTTGGCTCAGAACAGGTCATAGTCCAAGTAGAGGAGGGTATTTGTGGTATGGCCATCGAGCCCAAGATCTTTGAGGGGGTAGATACTGGGTATGTGAACCGATGGAGAGTCTTAGTGCAGGAGAGCAACAGTTAGTTTTGGGAGCTGTGTGTCAAGCTACGCAATGACGTTTCAAAAATTTATCACCGCTGGCTAGCCATCCTCGACCTGCCCCGAAAGATTCCTTGGATGTTGCCGCCCAACATCCTCAAGCTAGTTCACTTCCCACCCTTGAATTAGACATGGCTTTGAGCATCTCGTTCGGGTCAGTATCAGATGCCAGAGCGCAAAAGCAGGCGCTAGCCATTTCGCAAGCGAACCTGGACCCATGAAGTGCGAGATGTTTTTGAAATTCCAAAGAACGTTGAAGTATATTTAATGCAGTACAGGTTGAGGGAGTGTGTCCATAAAGCGTTGTGTAGAAACGAATGGTAGAAATGCAAGCTTGTTGTCAATATCCCGATTTTCCTTTCCACTTCGTCTCGTCTTTTTCCATCACAATTCATCTCATCCCTTTAACCTCAAATGCCAACCGGAGTTGTTGTTCTTTGGCCAGGATTCCTAACACGAACTGGCCAGTGAAGTGCGTGCAGCCTGGCAAAATTCCACGCCCGACCCATAGATCATGTATCCCACGTCGATATCCGCGATATGTTGCAACGTGCCTGCGCTGTACAGTCCACAAGCTGAAGTGATCTGCGCCAGCCCTTGTCCGTAGTCGTTCGCGTTGATCCACGTGTCCGCATCCCGACTACGATTGCAGATGAATGCGACAACATCCCCTTTGATGACGTACAAGGATCTGCCATGCGTTATGTGGGCATACCTCCCATCCTGAGAATCTATCAGAGATTTGAGACCCGCGACAGCGCTGTCGCAATTGCCGGGGTTCATCTTCTGCGTACAGCCGCACCAAGTAGTGCCTCTCCGTTGGAGGCGTGAAGCCCTGAAGCGGGGAATGGCGGACTTTGTGGACTCATCGTCGGAATGGGCAAGTCTCTTCAGAAGTGACATGTCAGGTGACTTAACATGAACCTCGTGGCCTGTGTCGTTGTAGTACGCCATATAAACGCCATCAGAAGCAGCTTCGGGAAGGGTGAATGCCGCTGACAAAGCAGCGAAAGTGACCAGAAGACTGACGATCAGTTGCATTGTAAATGACTTTGTAATATCCAGTGTATGTGTTTCGAATCTTGGCTATTTGGAAGGCTGAGTGATAGTCGCGGCAGAATACTGAACGCTGCCGTCGATGGTGGCTTTTAGACTTCATTTGTAAATTGGTCCCAGAGCCACTCTTCGTATGTTGTGTTGGTGAGCATACATCTCTGAGACAAAACAATGATCGCTACCTATCTTAGTACGGCGATCAATCATTCGCAGTATACTACTTTTTCATTGACCGTGGCTCGACATTGTGAGTGTGACCGGTAATCGTCGTAGTAGGAAGTCGGATGTACCCTCACTGGAGTGTGGAGGTTGAAGATGACGTCTAACACATTGCGCAACAGTCCGGTTCATGAGTACGACTCTGCTCCCTCGGGGAACCAAGACATAGGTACCTAGTAGCGTGATCGAGGACTCTGTACACATGTGTAGACACGGTTCGGTAACAATTTCGGAGACAAGCGAGTTTCTCTTTCCCATTTTGGTATGGCCTTGTACAGGATGGAGACGTCGACTCAAACGCATGGTCACCGAAAGATCAGAGTCACTTGCGAACCATGACGATCTAACAGCGATCCACAATGAAAGTGTCTTGGTGTTTCGGTACCTATAATCTCACCTGAGGCGCTGGTCGCTATGGAACGTTAATGATCACATTCTCAGGCGTATCATGAGATAAATAGAAGTATGTACAAGTAATGATTTGATGAAAACGTTGAAGAATGCATTAGGGTGGCCACAAAGACAACTAATGTACCTTCACTCAGCAATAAAATCTACTTTTGGTGTCTTGCTTTATACTTAGGTTTGAAGATAAAGGTAACTTTGCATACATAAGTATCTGGTGTGTTAAGTATCGCTAGACGCCTCCTTTACTAATGAACACTTAACGTACATGGAATCCTACGTATGAAGGGCGATATGGAAGTTTGCAGTGACGTTCTACTAGAGTAAACATAGTAGGCCGGCTCTTATTTCTGTAAGATTTTGACGCCCAGAACATGGTTGGTATATTGCTAAGTCTAAACGACCCAGCGGCTATTGATCTTGGTGAACTGGTAAACGGGTTGGGACACAGGAAGAACCATATATGTCTTTCGTGAATTATACTGTTCCAATCAAGAAAGGTACAGGCCGATTAAGGTAACCCAATGAGAAATTTTCGTTCGTCTAACAAATTTAGACTTCTAAGAGGTATACACCGAAATTCAGCATCAGACTATGAAGTAAAATCACACAACGCACGCCTGAGACCTCAAAGCTGGCTGTGTCCAAATATCTCGTCGCCTCTCAGCCTCCTCCCTGTGTCATTCAAATGGGTTCTTGTGTTAACCGTCATAATGTCCTCTCTCAAAGAAGATAACGTGTCCTTGACAGATGAGGCTTGAGCTACTTCTATCAACGATAGAATCCGCTCGGCTGCGAAGAAGACTGTATCGATCTTACCCGACATTACAGAAAACGTGCGACCACGTCGTGAAACTGTACATGTCCGATCGTCATGCGCCCCGACAGCCTTGGTCTTGATGGAAAGTTGTGGGCCGACGTATCGGAAAAGCTGGGAGAATGACGGGAGGTATTTCTCAATTTGCTCTTCCATGAGACATCGTTTCACCGTGATGACCTCACTGCATATACCATCGCGAACAGCGTGTGCTTCTTCCGCCGTCGCGAATTGGCCCAAAGGCGTATGCGGAACACTGGATAACGTAAAAAGTCCAGGAGCTTCGGTGGGATAAACTGAGCATAGCGGCCCGTCAACCAATGTTAGAGCTGGAAAGTCTGGCGGGCCTTCGTAGTAGAGTAACAACGTAGGCTCGTAGAGAACGGGGATATCGGGTTTACTGTAGTGGCCCCAGGTGGCATCGATGGCAAAGTCGAAGCACTCGTCGTCGATATATACAGCGTCTTCCGTATCATCAATTCGACGTATGCGATGTCCCAGTTGTAGGACGTCTTTCAACTCCGCCTCGAAGTAGGCGCGAGCTTTCGTAAGAAGAAGCACGCGCTCAGAGGTGCACATGATCCCAGAGACATTGGTGAGCTCAAAACTAGTCGGCAGGGCCTCTGTGAAGTGGACGCCGCTCGAAGTCATGATGGTTCGATATGTACCATAGTCGAGAAGTGAATCATGGGTGGGGACCGCGTAGATGTTGTTCGGAACGCTACGGCTAAGATCCGGGTAGCGCTCGATGAAGCGTAAGAAGCCATCTCGAGATTGGATGCGCGTTTCGCTATGTCGGGGATAGTGGAAGCCCATGTGGAGGCGAAATTGGTTGTTGCCTGAAGCCTCGTGTAAGAGACGATCGTGCTGCTCAAACAACTTTACCCTGAATCCGAGGGCGCGAAGGGAGGTTGCAATGTGACAGCCATACCAACCGCCTCCAATGATGCCGAAGCTGAATGGCTTCAAACCATATTGGCGGGGTAAATGGAACGGCGCAGACTTGGGAATGGATGTTGGCTCCATTGATCGGGAATGATGAAGGATGACGCCGCAACAGTAGGATGGTTCACGGAGGGCAGTGTGGACGGCCCAGCTCTGGTCATGCGTCAGTTGACATGAGGACTTCAATTTTATGTGGCGACGATCAACTACGGTGACTTCTCACCGGTTCCGCGGGGACCTGAGCTGGCTTATATGCCCTTCGAGGACAATCCTTGGTGCCTCGGACCAGGCAGTGCCAGCGCCATCTGACGTATTAATAGGAGTGACCAAGACTGTTGAGGAATAAAAGGCTTCCTCCAGAGGTCCGTCACGCGCTTAAAATGCAGACTTGTCAAGGAGCTGTCACGTACAACCGGACCTAGTCTCGTTGAAACTTTTCTCTCGGTTTCCGATCCATCTTCAAAGTTTGTCCGTATCACAGTTCAGAATGCATCGTGTTCACTCGTTCTCCGTCAATTCTCGAACCATAATTGCCCTTTGGGTGGGGACTTGAACAGGCAGATTTAACCCATATCTGCGGCGCATCCCAGTTCGACACATTCAATTATCTCACTGATCAAAACAGACGCTACAAGAATTTCCCCAGAAGACCACACGCCAAATCATGGAGGCTTGAGACCGCTTGTGGCCCAACGGTGACAATGCCTGTCGTGAATACACCAATTATTGCCGCTCCAACCAGCCATAGATCTAGGTTGCTTGCGCGAAGGGCACTCATCCTCATATCCGCAGTTTGAAGATGCATGGGTCGCAGCTCCCTTCCACGATCGTCCAATACACCACTTGCTCCATTCTCCTTTTTGGCAATCTCATCATCGCGACAGATCTCGAATCTTAGTTCGTGATCGTACATAAACTCCTCAATGAGATCCGCCGCGAGCACCTTTCGGCGACTCGCTAGATTCGCAATGCGTTGCATTCGGAGCGCATCACGTTGAAAGTGACCTTCTTCATCACGCATGAGTTTTCCAACCTTCTCTTGAATCTCCGCCGGAGTGAAAGTCTCCTTCTTCACGGATAAAGCTACCCCAGCTGAGTCAAGAGCAAGAACTCGGGGCAGCTGATCTCCATAAATCCCCATGCTGAGCATGGGAACGCCGTGCCAAAGACTCTCGTTCGCTGACGAGGGTCCAACATGGCTGAAGAAGAGCCGAGTAGAGGGGTGCGCAAGTACTGCTCGTTGAGGGGCAAAGTCGACAAACTTGAGATGCGGATGCTTGTTCTCGAGGAGCTCAGTGCTACCGAGAGTGATTCGGCTGCCATCTGACATGGTGTGAATTATACTGTCGGTCAGAGCTGAAAAGGCAGCCTTGCTGGCGCCACGTATGGCCCACAAAACACCATTTACGTGGCCTGCATGCAGAGTAGAGATGATGCCTGCTTTTAAGCTTTGCAATCTTTCGCGAGAGAGAATTACATGCGTGCCGAATGCGACGAACATGGTCCTGTCGTGAGTCTGGTAGAACTCGGAAAGCTCTGCATCCAACGGAGCGTATTCATCTGACAAAATTGGTCCGATGGCATGTAGCAAAGGTGGCGTCTCTTTAGGCGTCTCAAGGCCAACGAAGGAGTTCACCAACACCAAGTGATCCGGCTTAGGTAACATAGGAAGAATACCCAGCCCCTTCTTTGCGCGCATTCTCTTTGTCGTCAGGAAGAGATCGGCGAAGGCAATTGGGTGCTTCAGCAAGTATATGTCTTGGTTGAAGCGGTCCCACATGCTCGCATGCTCGCTGGTCTGAACCCGGGGCTCAAGACCTACGCGGCCAGGGATGTAGGGCACAGGGCACATAAAGTACGGCCACTGGGGCCACATCGTGGCTAGAGGGAGATTGTACTCTCTCTGCATGTCCCGAGCTGCGTCGACATGGAAATCCGCAAAGAGGAAGTCTGGCCGTGTGGTCTCGACGACACGCTTTAGGTTTTCGTAGGTCTCGGACCAGAAGGCGTCGAAGAACTTCTTGCCCTCGATCCAATTTCGAAGGCCATTGCCACTCCAGCTCCACTCGCTAAAGAGGATGTAGAGTCTGTCTTCTTCCTCTGGTGTGATGGCACGTCCTACTACATGAACGGCGGAGACAAACGGATAAGGGTTGGCATAGCCCTCACGGCCAGCAAAAGTGGCGAACTCGATGGTGTGTCCTCGTTCATGGAGATATTTGCAAACTTCGAACATGGGAGCTGTTAAGACGAAACGTATTAGCCTTGAAAATATGACGTAACCATCAGACTTACCTGAGTTTGTTGAACCACCAGCTGTAACAACGACTAGTATTTTGCGCGGAGGGAGGAGGGGCGGATTTTTCTTTGACAGCGCCATCGCCATGAGATGAGGGTATAGTCCTGCGATTCAGACTGAAAAGACAATTTGTAAAAAGGGAAGAGCAAAAAGAACGTCTGGAAATGACGTTCAATGGGGGGAAATCATTCAGTAGGATGACCTATTCCGAATCCACTGAGGTTGTAATGAGCCAAATGTCAGGAAAATTCATGCACTAAGAGTTGCCGATATTTCCCAGAAACCGCAGATGGGCAGGAAGTTACCAAGTTAGCATTCGAGATGATACTTCTACCTTGGTTCGACTTGCGTCCATGAATGCGGCTGCCTTGACGTGATTCAGTCTACAGGAACTAATGTGATCAGGAGTAACCCCAAGATAGAAGGTGGGCCAACTGCCTGGCGGTATGAATGACGTTAACAAGGTCACTTATCTCGCCAAACTGTCTTATTGGAGGAGTATGCTCGTGATCCTGCAGAGGAAGTCCCAATCCTTCAGAATGACTTGGCTCACTGTCGTGTAAACTGCACACCCTCCGCCAGTGGCCCCTGGTAGAGATGTCGGTACCTTTCGTTCCTAGCTAGCATTGAATCAAAAATACTCCCGCCCACACCCCTGTAGCCTTTGTATTTGCTAGCGGGTGCGGGGGTTTCCACGCGGAAGCGGCGTTGCGGCTGAGGAGCTTGTCGTTCATCCCATGTGGTCCAAGCTGCTAAGCACTAAGCCTGTAACCAAGCGAGCGACAGTGTGAGGAATGCAACTGATGTTTAGCCTGGCTGCAGTGTTGTCACCCACCTGGACAGTTGTGTGTGTGGGCGGGATGGACCTGCCGAGACGCCGTGAGTGCAACGTCGGCGAGATTGTCTGACGTCGTGGGCCGATTACATCCCTCAGGATCTGACAGGATTTTATTGATTGGTCAACGATTACAAGACATGCGGTTGACGAACCATAAGTTTGCCCTTCGGTTAGATAGCTGGGAAAAAGAGTTCTGGTCTAGGCTCTGCGGAGTGGTATCCCTGTTCGATCCGTTGAGCCTAAGTTGATGTAAACGAGGGGATGAGGTATTCGTCTCTCCCTGGCAGCTTACAACCCACCATCTGCTGACACCGAGAGACGTATCCCGTACGACAACGGAGGGCTTCTTCGTGGGTCGGCTGAGAACGCCATAGGATGGCTGGTGTGGGGTAGATCAGGGTGAGAAACAAGGCCGGAAGGTTGATTGATGTTTCAATCAACCCCGACTAGTTGTGCATGGCGTTATCAAGCATTGTGGCTGGCAACAACTTGCTGTACCTAGCCACCGCCGTGCAGCTCCAAGACATCACTGTTGAAACTTGGCAAAGGAGACAGCTTTCTCCGCCAAGCTGCGGAGACGCCCGCATGTCCGGCACTGTTCCCGCCCAATGAGTTGACCCCCGCGCCACGAGAATTAGCGTCGCGAGATTTTATCCCAAACTGGCCACACTAGACAGGGGTACGTGATTGATGCCCCTGCAAATGATAGGGCTGGCCAATGAACACGGATATCACGAGATTGGGTCCCGCAGTGATATTTTGGTGTCGTGGATTTCCCATGCTTCGATCCCCTCTCGCGGGTGCCTAGACTCCAGTTAGTGTGTGAGAGGTGGCAGGATATTCATCTAAGCGGTACAGGATCTGACGATGCACTAAGTATCGAAGGAAGTGGTGGCTTTTTCTCGCCTCACACGGACATTCTTTCAAGCCTATTGCCGTGCTCTAATAACGCCCTGAGAGGTCGCTCTCAGACTACACCCCCCATCACCCCAGGAGGCCCTAGTTTCATGGTCCCGGAAAATGAGTCCACTACGTCTATGGAGCAAAAGTCCTTCCAGCATAATCCGGATCCAATCCGTCGGAATGGCGCTTCGGTTATCGATGAATCAATCATTGCCCCGTTGAGTCTTACGAGCTTCCTTTGGTCCGCCCCATTGAATGACGGGCAGGAACATCGCAGCACGCTCAGACGACATTGGAGTCTTCACGAAGCTTAGACTTGCCATGGAGTGCAGATGAACTAGTTGCGGCTGAATGTCTAGTCTACAGCTCTTACGATATTTTATGTAGCTGCCTGCGAAGTGGCATACTTAGCGCCCGTTATTGAGAGGGCTCTCAGGATCGTACACGTCAGTCGTGATGACATCTGGATACTCCATCATGCCTTGCTTCAACACCGCCTCAATGATTTCCATCGTAACAATGGTCTCGTCCAAGGGCAGGACGAGACTCTCCAGCTTACCGTCCCGCAGGCATCTGGCACACTCGTCTGCCTCCCAGTAGAGCCCGCGGCCCCAACCACCTCGCCCGCTATCCTGTGGGAATGGGCACTCAATGGTCTCAACCTTGCCACCGTCATCCGTCTTGATCACCTTGTAGCTGTGCGGACGGAAAGCCGGACCGCAAATTTGGATCTCGCCATCTGACCCCTGGACCTTGATGGCTGGGCCGCCTGTGAAGCCAAAATCGACACCTGATCCCAGTCGGAGAGTTGTCATGCCTATCCCCATGGTGTTTTGCTTCGGGAATTGGACAATGAAGCTGGCTGCCTCGTCGATGCCTGTGTGATACTTGCTTACAGCCGCCGCAATCGGCGCAGGTGACTCCTTCTTCTCATGCGGCTGAAGGTGGTAGAGGATCTGCATGATCCAAGTGAGAGAGTAGACGCCCAGATCAAACATAGCACCGCCAGCCAGGCCAGGGTTAATCATACGGTCTGAGTCATTGAAGTCCAGCCTCCCATCTGGGAGGTGTCGATGAATCGAGTTGTCGGCTGAGAGGCTCCAATTAGGCACATGAGAGACAATACGGTGCGGCAACACTCACCGATGACCCGATAAACAGTTCCAATAGCCCCAGCCGCTACCAATTCCCGCACCTTGGTGCTCAGTGGGAAAAACCGCGTCCAGACTGCTTCCATGAGGAACAGCCCCTTCTCCCGTGCTTTGTTGACCAGCTTTCTGGCCTGAGCAGCGTTGACGGTGAATGTCTTCTCGCAGAGAACGTGCTTCCCGGCCTTAAGTGCCAGCATAGCGTTCTGGAAATGATGGCTCACAGGGGAAGCCACGTAAATTATGTCTACATTCTCATCCGCCACAAGCTCGCGATAGGAGCCGTATGTCTTGATGGTGGCATCGCTCGGGGCCTGCACCTTGCTGACAAAATCCGCCGCTTTCTGCTTCGAGTTGGAAGATGCGACAGCGACTACCTGATGACGAACGTCATGTACGTCGCGGGTTGCTGGGTCGGTAAAGAGATCTCGCACGAAATCTGGAATTATCAATCAATGGGTACTAAGTCAAGCTCGGATTTCTGAGGAACTTACTCGCTGCAATATGGCCAGTGGCCATGATGCCCCATCTTAGTGTGAACTCCGTGGTTGAACCCATGTTGGCATACGTGGAAATTGCGATGATGAATGTTAGGGAGAGATTGAAGAGATAGAGTTTTGACCTGTGCGACTGCTATTGTGACCAGATGTAAGGGAGCGTCGTTCGTTAAGGACACATTTTGTCTAATCCAAGCATTCGGACTATCTTCGGGGTCAGCTGGATTTCATCCCTTGCGTCAATGTCTTGATCTTGGCGATCACCCAGCCACCCAGCACAACCTTCGTCGGCCAGCTTATCGAGGAGTTTGGATCAATCGGAAATCAATCGAACTTGATCATGTTTGGTGCTGAGATGGTAAAGTTCATCATTTTGCGAGAATTACATGATGCTACAAAGTTTTTCTCACTGGGCTTTCATAGCCTTCTCAATTCCTCTCTCAATGGTTTCAACCATCTTGTCCGTCACATCCCTTGGGGCGGTCGGAATCTCGTGCCCCGCAGGATGCTCCCAAAACTGTCTGGTCTCCTCCCGAGACATCTGCACCAGCTTCATACAGGTTTCAAGGTCCTTGTCTTGAGCCCCGACGAGATGCACCGTGGGAATTCCAAGCACAGGCTTACCAGCTTTATCGAGATCATTCTCACAGTATCTGAGAGTGTTTGTCTCTTTCAGTTCCTTCTCCGAGAAAGGAGGACCACCACAAATAAACACTGCGAACGCGAACGGCGAGGGGAACGTGTCCCGCGCAATCAGCATAGCAGCAAGAGCCGCGCCTTGAGAGAATGCTAACACGCCGTCGAATGGGCCTTCAGACGTCACATATTCCTCGAGATCGTCCACCGCTTGGATTATGCTGCCGTACTTATCGGTATCGTAGTATGCGAAGTATTCAACATTGGGTCCGGCTATAAGATTGATACCTGCGCTTGTTAGTTTCGAGTCATAAACGTGTCTATCAGAACTTCATACCTGGAGCAGCTGGCCATTCTATGGCCCCCTCCACAAAATCGAACGTTGCAGAGAAGCTCTTTGACAAGGCACTGCGAATTGCGGCTGCGTACTGTGTTAGTGAGCGTTTGCGTGTATTCAATGTAGGCATGTAGCCCACCAGTCTGAACCTGGAAGATCTGTGTGTTGTCAGCGGATGGCGTGTTGCGCATGTTACCCATGAGTAGCGAAGCGAACCTTGCTGCTTGTTCCCATTCCATGGAGGCAAAGAATGCGCATTTTGCCGTTGAAATACACTTGGCCAGTTGACAGATAGTTTTCCTTCTGCACGTTTCCAGTCTTCGTTGGAAATGTGAAGCCTCGGGGCCAAATCTCAATTGAAAGTAAGAAAATAAGCTGGAAATCGAAATTTGGTACTTCGACAATCCAATTCATAATACAACGTCCGACGCATAACTGATATCACTCATGCTTCTACTCTCCGCCGACAACCGGATCTGCCTGAAAACCACATTCATATGCCCAAAAAAAGAATCAGTCCTCGACAAGAATTCTTCCCCACGTCAAGCACCTCATTGGCGTCGCCTCATTTTCAGCCACGCCTTTTCTTCTGCCGGTCCAACCCAATCCTTCAGGATCCTACCCGCGTGCTAGCTTTTGCGCGTCGTGCATGGTCAAAAGCTTGGAAGCGGCCACTTGAAGACCCCTGACGACGTGCGACCCCGTCGAAGGATCAGCAGCCCTGCCCCCAACCAGTCAACGCTTACACCTACGCCAGTAGGGCGCCGTCAGCTTGCGTGATGAAATGGCATTCCGTCGTTTCCGCCGGCGTGAGACACTAGCATTCAGCACCTCAGCGCCTCAGCCTTCAAGGGCTGTGCTGCCTCGCAGGCTCGAAGCTCAATCCGGTGCCTGTCTCCCAAGCTGTTTATGGAAACAGACACGTATAGCAACTTTCTAAAATGGAGGAGTTACTGAATACATATCACAAGTCGAACGAGAAGCGCGCGGATGAGCGCGGTGTGAGGGCTTTCGTCCTTGTTTCATTGTCCCGTCATCATTCTTCGTGTGTCGTGTATCAGCGTCGCATCAGCAATACCCATGTCATCTAGACCAAGCGAGCTGCAAGGGACCTCAGCATAGACGGGGTGATTTTCGTTTGTCGACTTGCTCCAGTCAGCGTGCATAACCCCCTTTAGACGACTGCACTCTCGATACGGGGCAATTGGCCGAGCCTTTCTGCCATGTCTCAATCAGGAGGGCACTGGCGGCCGGTGTCGCTCCCTCCCCTCCGCACCGCACGTTATTCGGGGTATCCTGAATATCCCCAGCTTCCTCCAATCACCCACGATCCGTTACACGACTTGTATCGAGTCCCTTTCCTGAACAAAAATCCAGTGTATCAAGCTGGACCTTACATGACGGAGTCAAGGATGTCTGATTCTGTCGTGGAAAAGGCATCCGTGACCGAAAGGCATCGCGACACAGCATACGATCCAGCAGCAAACCAGGCACAAAATGAGACTGTTTATGATCCGCCAGCGGGCTCCGCGGACAACACGATCAACGATGTCCCATTGACTCCCACACGGGCAGAAGAGCAGCCTACAGAGCAGAACGAGTTCATGAGTGGATGGAAATTATACATGCTCACAGCAGGGTTCGTCAATTTCAACTTCTGCACCATGTAGTTATTATTGCTGATGGAATCATAGAATCTGGATTTCTCTATTTTTGTCTACTTTGGAGACGACAATTGTTAGCACATCTTTGATTGCAATATCAGATTCACTAAGCGGGTTCGAGCTTCGAAATTGGGTCGTGACGGCATATTTCCTCACGTATACTGGTACGATATCTTGGGGGACTGGAAGCGCGTCGCTGACTGCTGCATTCTAGGTTTCCTGGTAATTTATGCAAAGTTGGCCAGTATCTTCGGGTCGAAAACAATGTTCATCTTCGCTTTGACAATGTTCACGGTATTCTCAATTGGCTGTGGATCTGCAAGTACCATGGAGCAATTGTGTGCAAGTTTCCATTCTATGGAAGAGTTTTCAGTCACTGACTATGTGCAGGATTATTCTGCGTGCATTCCAAGGAATAGGCGGTTCAGGCATCTACTCAATGGTCCTAGTCATTGCGCCAGCACTCGTTCCCAAGACAGAGTATGGAAAATACATCGGCATTATCTCCTCCGTCTTCGCCCTCGCTAGTATCACTGGTCCTCTTGTTGGCGGTGCCATTTCTAGCAGCACATCATGGAGATGGGTATTTTTGCTGAAGTGCGTAATCCATTATCCCCCCGGAAGCAAAGGCGCAAAGTAAAGTTGAGTGCTAATTCGTCCTTGAAGTGGACCCCCTGGCTTTGTGGCCATCCTCCTAGTTGCGATATTCTTGCCAGCAAGCAAGTCGGAACGTACCACGGACTTCAGAACTAGAATGAAAGGCAAGTTCTCTCGGGGAACAACTCGACGTGTTGACTTCGTCGGAGCTGGCTCACTGCTGGGCGCTTCTGTGCTTCTGGTCTTCGCTCTTGAGTCAGGTGGTACACGTTACGCTTGGGATAGCTCGGCTATATCGTCGACTTTCATCTTTTCAGGCATTCTATGGATTGTTTTTATAGTCTGGGAGATTCGTCTAGAGCGGAAGAAGAATATGCCTCAGGAGCCCATCTTCATCATGGGTCTTCTGAAGGATCGCCAGTTGGCCAGCATGATGTTGTGAGTTAATTTCTCATCGATGCGTCCCTGCGAAGCTGACTGCAGCCAGCACGACTTTCTTCATCGGCTTCCCCTTCGTCACCATTCTCTTCATCATTCCACAAAGAGCCCAAGCCGTCTATGGCCTCAACCCAGTGCAGTCAAGTTTATCTGTCCTTCCACTGTTGCTCACCTCGCCATTTGCCACAGCAATCTCTGGAGTGTTGACATCAAACTACAACGTACCCCCCGCATACCTCATCCTCATTGGGTCTGTCATCCAGCTTATCGGAGTCGGTCTTTCAATTAGCATTCCGCTCACGGGCGACCACATTTCTGCCTCACAATATGGCTTCGAGGCCGTCATGGGAATTGGCTTCGGATTGACGCTCAGCACAGTCCTGACTCTAGGGCAGCTTATTGTCAGCAAAGAGAACGCTGGAATCGTGATGGGAGCTCTGACTCAGATTCGCGTCCTTGGCGGGACTATTGCACTAGCAATTTGGTAAGCTTTGCCCAAACAAGAAGTTTTAGAAGCAAGTTTGCTGACCTGTCCCAAAGCTCTGCAGTGCTTTCAAATGACTTGAGGGCGGGGCTTGCAGGACTCATCAAGCCTGGCGAGCTCGGCCAAATCGCCGAATCCCTGTCATCGATCAACGACTTGGACCCGGAGCGAGCCGCTGCAGTGCGACTCGCGTTTGCGACTGGGTACAAGCGACAATTCCAGATACTGACTGGCTTCAGTGGATTAGCTCTGTTGGCAGCATTGTTCTTGTTTAGTCGCAACCCAGTCACCGTCAAAGGCGCGACCTCCAAAGAAGCCCAGGGCAGCTCTATTGACTCGTATGAGCTAGCCGGGAGAGGGTCATCAGAGGAGCAGAGGAATGCTTGATGATCGGACATGTGACATAATTATATGCAGGCTCATGTCGAACCTCGCAAAATAGTTGTAGAGAGTGCTTACTATGCGAAAGGTAGAGAATGCATTGGCCAATGGGATGAGTTGAGTTTTGTGACTTGCTATCGCGGACCGGTGATATCATGCGTTCCGTCTCCGAGACTTCGTTTTCCGTCTTCAAAGGAATGCTGACCGCATAATGTTGTAATGCCACCTTCTAGAAAGAGGTCAGTTTAACGGGGCTGCGCGGGGAAGCCAAGGCATAAGCCGATAAGAAGATGATGTATTTACAGCCGAAGCGCTCTGCTCTAGATTTTGTGGACGCAGCACATTGTGCTTCTTCATCATGAATCTTAGCATTTTATCGCTCCTAGCACTGGCGACCGGTGTCCGCTCAGCAGCCCGCAATGTGTCGCACTCTGACAGTCTTAGTGTGCAGACCTCCACCGGGATCTTCACAGGACTGATTGACACGGATTCGCCCAATACTCGCCAATGGCGATCGATTCCTTTCGCAGAACCTCCTGTCGGGTCGCGGCGCTGGCAAGCTCCTGAGAAGCTTCAGCCCTCAACCAAACACCAATATGCGACGAAGTTTCCGCCTTCATGTCCACAGTTCGTGACGGCCATCGAATCTATGTGGAACCTACCTCTAACAAAGGGCAACTTGATTTACAATGGAGCCCAGAACGATACGTCGGGTCTGGTAGGCGAAGCAACATCTGAAGACTGCCTGTACCTCGCGATCTGGGCACCCACGAGCCCGCCACCTAAAGAGGGGTTCCCTGTTCTCTTTTTTATGACAGGCGGCGGCTTCGTGATGGGTGGCATTGAACTTCCCTGGCAGATCCCTACGTCCTGGGTCGAGCGGTCGCAGTCAGCAATCATCGTCACAATAAACTACCGCGTCAGCATCTTTGGCTTCCCTAACGCGCGTGGGGTGGCTGAAGGGGAGCAAAATCTCGGAATTCTCGACCAAAGATCCGCTCTCGAATGGGTGGAAAGCAACATCGCGGCATTTGGCGGCGATCCGAATCGTATCATGAACTGGGGCCGGTCGGCAGGTTCCATCAGCGCGGACATCCACGCCTACGCTTACCATGACGATCCAATTGCTCAATCATACTATATGGAGTCGGGAGTCATGACTGGATCCTATTCTTCGGGCCTCTTGGAGGACCCATCGCACTCTAATTTCACCTTCGTAGCACAGCATCTGGGCTGCGAGTCTCCTTGCGGCCCCAACTGCGAGGACGACGACGGCGCCGCGGAACTTGACTGCATGCGCCGCGTATCTTTCCCGCAGATCATAAACTTCATAGGACAGTACGGTGATCGAGGTGAAACGCCAGTTCTATCTTTCGGCTTGATCCCCGATGATCGCATTATCTTCCGCGACTACGATGAGCGCGCTGCGGCGGGGAAAATCGCTCTTCGCCCGTCCCTCATCTCCATGACGGCCAACGAGTTCTCATCGCTCACTCCATGGCCAAAGGATAACCTGACCGAAGGCCCTTGGCAGGCGCCGGTCACGGCCATGGACGTCGCGTGGGTGTGCTCGGCTTTCAATGCCACTGTTGCTCGCAACCGTCTGAGCACGTCCGAAGCCCCCGTCTTCAGGTTTCAATATGCTGCTGAGTTTCCCAATTTGAATGTGTACAGTTGGCTGGGCGCATATCACAACAGCGAGACGCCTTTGTTGTTTGGGACGTATGACCTGTTGGATCACATCGCGCCAACGACGGATTTCCAGGTTGAAGTTAGCAGGGCAATGCAGGATTATGTCATGGCGTTTGCTGAGGATCCGTATCATGGACCGCAGAAGAAATTTGGTTGGGAGCCGCAGGTTGTCAACGAGACTAATGGAGGGTTTGTACTTCGTTTTGGAGCAGGCGAGAAGGCGGTTCAGCGCATCGATGGGGTAGAGTTAGACGGGGTGTGTCAGGGGTTGGCAGAGTATGATCCATTCCCATGAGTCTGTTTTCAAGCAAAGTCAGATTGGAATTATTACTCAATCACCTCAGTCCTGTTAAAAGTCTAACTTTTGTGCTTCTGACATCGTCGTTGTCGTTGTTGTTATCACTATTATCATTATCATCATTGGCACCTTTCCTGAGCATATAATCCCTACTAGTTAAAGTTATTTGAATTTGAACACTAATAACTCTGCCTAGAAAAGACTGGGAGGCGACACAAATATCCTTCTGACTGGTTCTCAAAGTCATGGCTACTACATATTCTATGTGAAAACTACATCAAACTCTCCGAAGTCGGACATAGCATTGTTGAGGAGGGCGTAAGATCTTCTGATGGCCCCACGGGCTGTTTAGCATATCAGGAACAGGGAGAAACTCAAAGTTCAACACAAGAAGGACGAGAAATATGCGTAATTGTTGCATCGCTAGTTTTCTGCCTGGAAGTAATAGTCAGCAAATGATGTCTGATAGAATGCATGTTTCTTCGACGTACCAAAGCAGCCTCGCGGTCCCAGAGAGAATTGCATTCTCGTCAATGCTGCAGAGTCAAATTCCTCCACGCCATTTTCGTCTTTCTTGATCCATCTCTCTGGCATGAAACGCTTTATATCCGTCGTGGCAAAAGCATGTCCTTTGCGGCGTTCCCAAGCTGCCCGACTGGACTCGCTGCGGGCAGCATCTGGTATATATATGGGCTCGTTCATGAACTGAGCATTGCACATGATGTGGGATCCTTTCGGCACGTGATAACCCAATATGGTAGTGTCGATTATGGCAGAACGAGCTAGTAGAGGCACGGTGTTGGCGAAACGTAGAATTTCTTCCAATGTGCCATCAAGATAGGGAATTGAGGTGGATAGAATGTCAGAGGCGGATGGCACAGATCCTACAGGCACAGGTGAGAAGGCATCTTGAAGGCTTCTTCTGAGCTTTGATTGCTTCCCTTGGTTATCAGCCAGTGATCTTAAGCCCCAACCAAGTGTGATGGCGGTTGTTTCGTGGCCCTGATGCGAATGTTTAGCATGAGATCAAATTTGACAGGCACGTTGTGTCACTTACCGCTACCAGCAACATCGCAAGTTCATCGCGCATTGCCGTGTCACTGGATGCTGGGGAGCGTTGCCCTGTCTTGGCAAATGCGATCGCCTCACGCCGAAGGACTAGGTCCATGGCGCAAGTGTCTCCTTCGTCCTCAATAACTATGTCGCCCTGACTAGTGAGCTTCTCGAAGCGTAGACGGGCCCTCACAATCAGCCTATCAATCTCCTTATCCTTAAAGCTGCTGTAGTATTTGTATTGCTTTGACTGTCGAATCCACCAGTGGTGCTTGGCTGGGAATGGAGATCTCATAATTCGCTCAATAGTGCCGTTGACGTACTCGATTGCATGGTACATGATTGACCGAGGCGCCTTGGGAAACTCAATAGGCTCGTCTTTGTCAGAGCCTGATGCAGAACGTTCATTTTCGAGCGCCTTCATCTCGTCGCGGAGGCCAGTGAGTCGAGTTCCCAGCATAGCGATCCAGATGGAGTCAAACGCTGCCAACTCCAGATCATCCAAAGCCTTGAAAGGGTGCTCGCTTGCAAGGGCACATTTCCGACTCCAAAGTTCGACTAACTCAGACGCGCAGCGATGCACATTTGGAGCGACGACCTTTCGGAGAAATTGAGGCGACATGACATCCTGCCACAATCGCCTCTGTTCCTTGAACGCCGGGTTTGAGAGCTTGACCATACTCGCCTCAGGGACCAAAGGCTCGAAAAACGCAATGGTCGATGGAGCCCGATCGAACTCTCGAGTTCGACGGAGCAGTATGTCTTCAGTCTCCTGGGGATCGTCGATGAAGATGAACGGGCGCGAAAATGGACGCAAGAAGATCTGGACGATGGGCGAATTCAGGTTGCGACATTGCTGAAACGAGAAGCTTGCGATTTCTTTGGTTTTCTTGAAGTGGGAAAGAAGTCCTGGAAGATCCCCAAGGATTCTCTGCGCAGATTCTTTATTGTATGGGATGCCACTGTATGGCCTGGGTAACGCCCTTCGATAGAGAAGCAGAAGGCCACAAAATAGTAGACCAATAATAACCAGAATGGATGCCATGATGAGTGGATGTCTAGAACGGCAAACCCGCACTCTTTTGCGATACTATTTGATCGTAGCACAAGATCAAACGATATAATTGCCAAATCGTGCCCAGTGAGTTTTGAATCAACATTCGACGCGAAATATTTCGACTGTGAATGTACCAAAGGCGTGATGTGCGTTCGCTTCACTACTAACATATCAGCCATGTTACTAAAAGATTGTGGTCCACTGGCCATGAACCATAGGAAACATCCGATATGGTGTCACGGAAGAACACGGCACAGCCCTGGTGAGACATCTAGCGTGTAGGAGACGGGAAGGTTGACATCTGTCAGTATGTCATAGCCTTCGAAGCTATCTCAGGCAAGGCAACAGGATATTGACCGAATGATTCTATTCCCGTCCACGGCTCGATGTCGGTTGATCGTGGCCCACTAGCAAGCAGGAATCTCACCGCCCCAGTTGTGTTGTTTCGAAATATCGTTCTATCAGGATGATCTTGATTATCTCTTCATGTTGCATCTTATTTCGCGCTTATTTCTGACGCGCTTTTTCTGAGACGCACCTTTCCTGAAATGGATAAAACCTCGCGAAGAGTGGGTCGGGATGTGCTAGGATTGAGAGGGGTGCGTCTTATTGCGGAGAGGGGCGTTCGCTTCGCAATTTTGACACGGAGGGTGATTGTAAACAAACCAGGGCTCCATCCACGACCCGCCAGGTTGGTGTGGATGCAATCCGTGAACACGGCGCATGGGAAACTCGTGAAGCCAACAGTCCTGTCATCACTAGCGACATCTGAAGGACTCCTTGCAGTTGTATCCTGGCTAGTTCCAAATCTGCCTATCAACTCTCACCATCACCAGGCAGTAATGGGCAAGCTGATTCTTCCGAAGTATATTAAAATGGTAAACTCAGGAGATGGATACCACACGGGATAAAGTTCCGAACTTCTTGGTCACCTAATCCAGTGCTCATCATTTTGTCTCCACTTGTTGTTACAACCTTGAACCAGCAAAATGGCTGCTCCATCGACCTGCACGCTGCACAACTTGACTGGCAAGTTCAAAACCAATAAGCAGCTTTCAGACAGTTCTGATCCGCTTCTTGCTATTGTTAGTACCTAGACAGACTCTGACACGAACACGTTTTCTCCTTCCGTGATGCGGGCTACTGATTTTGCAAAACAAACAGCAAGGCATCAATTGGGCCATCCGTAAGGCAATGGGTGCCGTACCGATTGTCATCAACATCAAGGCCTGCCCCACTGAAAATGGCGTCGACGTGATCGAGGCCGAGAACGTCATTGGAGGGGGAATCCACAAAGCCAAGGAGCGTCGTTTGCTCAACTGGGACGTCGTTGAGCGTACCGATGCCAACTTTGGTCGTCTCAGGGTCCAGAATGGATGGTCGGCACTGTCCGATGTAAGCATTGCCCCTCCCCCACCTCACTAGCCCTGCAACATCCAAAATTCCAACCCATATTCTGTGAACCCTGCGGATAAGTCCCTTGCATGCTGGCGTAACTTCATTGGAGATCGTATGGAAGGATCCAAGGGAACACAGTATTGCGTGGTAATGGTCACATATGTTCACCGGCTGTGTTGCGTTGAGCTAATTGAGTGGGGCAGATCAAGGATAAATTCCTCACAGCTGGGCTTCAGAAGGAGCACAGTCAAGACCCTGTCATCATGATCAAGGTTGAAAATCTTGACCACGCATGGACTCAAGAGCAAACGTGGGGGTTCGAAGAGATTGACGGTATCAGACGTTATGTTCGTAAGATTGTTGTGACGAAGGAAGGCAAACGGGAGACGGCCCGCCTGGTCTTCGATTATGAATTAGCCTAAATAGTGCAGAACGGCGTAATTGCGCCACTGATAACAACTTAATGTTATTAATCATGTCTTAAGCCACATCCATGGATATGAATTGCCACCGTATATTGTTCAATGGAGTCCCAGCATATCAAATGACATAAACCTTTGTAGATTCAAACCTACCATTTTTACTGCAAGCCACCTCCACTTATTCAATCCCCTGCTAGGCGTCCATGCCTGCAGACATCTAAAATGGAGAGAATAGTTAGGGCTGAGAAGGCCGGTTCCAGACACTGACTAGCCTTGGCACTAACGACACTAAACTAGTCACTTGAATCGGGCCATCGTGCCGCTCAAACGGCTTCTGCCTAGACCATGCCCGCCTCCATAATTACATGATGGAATCCTCCCGCGTACGGGCTGATAACATCGCCGCCACCATTCCCCGGCAAAGTTGCCGTGCTTACACCTTGTATGAGAGACACAAATAGCGACGTTGCGCGGTGGATCAACACCCCGTTGAAGCTATTTACTAGACAGGTTAGATTTGATCAGCCTGTCAGTCTTGATGCAAGATAACTTCAGGTTGTCATGATCCTTTGGTCAACCCTGCTTAGTGTCCATATTCTCACGGAAGGATCTCAGCTGGATCTCCTTTACGATGATACCTATTCAGGCGATAGGTTACTTCCATGGTGAGATATCTCTCATGGTGGCACGGTATGGATGTGATTCATACCTCGAAATGCTTGTTTCCAATCCTGAAATTGACCCCCCATGCCGGAGAAGTCACAAACGGGGTTGATAGTTGTCACTCAGCCTCACCCGATGGATGGGACCGGCAGGCCATAGATTGACAAGTGAACAGGCAGATGAATCAGTCGGCACGCCGCCATGTCATCGTATAGCCGCTGAGATGAGGCCATTCCGGGAAACTCTACCGTAGTAGCAATACCATGGTTTCGTCTCGCTTCAGCTTGCACACTGATATCAAACTGACGAATTTGATATAAGGCCAATCTCACCACGAGAAAGTTTATGTGGTCAATCCAAGTCATACTCACCTTTGATCACTCCATCATTCAGCAAGCCTTGATTCGTTCAACCGAGTGAGGGATATCCTGGACACTTCTCCTTTTATTCAATAAGATTACCATCAACTCATCTATCACCATGCCTGCCACAACCACCCACAATAGTGCATCTAGCATCTACGACGAAGACATTGCCATTATTGGTATTGATCTCAAGTTTCCTGGTGATGCCTCGACTCCCGAGGGGTTCCAGAAGCTTTTGCTTGAGGGTCGTTCTGCCCTGAGTGATATCGGCAAAGAACGATACAACATTGATGCTTTCTATCATCCAGATCCCGAAAGGGCTGGTGCTGTAAGTGATCCCTGGTGTTCCCCGATTTATCACAACCACTAATGATATTCCTAGATCAATATTCGTAAGGGACACCATATCAAGGGTGATCTTGCAGCTTTTGATGCCCCCTTCTTCTCTATTCCGCCTGCGGAAGCGGCGTGCATGGATCCCCAGCAGCGAGGGCTGCTGGAATGTGTTTACCGCGCTCTGGAAAATGGTAAGCTTTCGTGATCAGCATTGGAGTATGTATCAAATGCTAATGGCATGTCAGCTGGTATTCCCATGGAGAAAGCTGTTGGTTCCAATACCTCTGTCTACATTGGGTGCTTCACACGCGAGTACGATGGAGTCATTACGCGTGACCCCGAGCTCGATCTTAGATACCTGGCAACTGGTACTGGTACTGCCATGCTGTCCAACCGTCTTAGTTGGTTTTACGACTTTCACGGTGCCAGCATGACTCTTGATACTGCTTGCTCGAGCAGTTTGATGGCTTGTCACTTGGCCTGTAACAGTTTGAAGATGGGAGAGTCTTCTATGGCCATCGTTGGCGGAGCCAATCTCTTCTACAACCCGGACACCTGTATTCCCCTCACTAGTCTTGGCTTCCTTTCGCCAGACTCAAAGTGTTACAGCTTCGATCACCGCGCCAACGGATACTCTAGAGGCGAGGGTTTCGGTATCCTCCTCTTGAAGCGTCTCTCTGATGCAGTCCGCGACCAAGACACCATCCGTGCTGTCATTCGCAGCACTGTTGCCAACCAAGATGGAAAGTCACCTGGAATCACTCAACCCACCAAGCAGGCTCAGGTTGACGCTGTCGAGACAGCCTATCGCCAGGCTGGGCTTGACCCGAGTGTGACACGGTTCTTCGAGGCTCACGGTACCGGAACCCCTGTGGGAGACCCTATTGAAGCCAGCGCCATTGCCCAAGTGTTCAGCAAGTATCGCTCTCCTGAGGAGCCTCTCATTGTTGGTGCCGTTAAGTCCAACATTGGTCATCTTGAGGGCGCTGCTGGCATTGCCGGTCTCATCAAGGCTGTCCAAGTCCTTGAGACAGGAGTGATCCCTCCCAATATTTGGTTCGAGAAGGCAAACCCCAAGATCCTTCCTGAGTGGCATCTCAAGTTCCCCACAGAAAACACCCTGTGGCCGACTGATGGTCTCCGACGGGCTTCGATCAACTCCTTTGGTTACGGCGGATCCAATGCCCACGTCATCATGGACGATGCTTTCAACTACCTCAAGGATCATGGCTTGAAGGGTCAACATTGCACTGCCGAGCTTCCGAACAAGAAGCTTTTGGGTGCTCCCAAGGTTGAGATCTCCGAGCCAATCGAGGCGAATGGCCACTCGAACGGCGAGACCCCTGGCGCGAACGGACATAACGGCGTAAAGACCGAAGAGTCAGGAGCTACCAACGGCCACAGTACCGGTGCCACCAAGACAAACGGAGGTCTTGACCCGAACGCTGCAGACAGAATTTTCGTACTCTCCTCTGCAGATGAGAGCGGTATTGACCGCCTTGCGGAGACCCACCAGCAGTACCTATCCTCTAAGAAGGATCAGATCGATGATGAGGCCAAGTACCTCGAGGATCTCAGCTTCACTTTATCGTCTCGGAGATCTCAACTCGCCCATAGAGCCAACATCGTCGCACCTAGCATCGATGCTCTCATCGAGAAGCTTGGCGGCAAGCTGACAGCTATCAAGGCCGGCACCAAGCCCAAGCTTGCCTTTATTTTCACTGGACAGGGTGCTCAGTGGTACGCCATGGGACGTGAACTCCTCGAAGTCCCTTCTTTCAAGGAGAGCCTGGATTCTGCGTCAGACTACCTCCATGAGATTGGGTGTGAGTGGACCTTGACCGAGGAGCTCATGAAAGACGAGAAGTCTTCCCGCGTCAATGACGCTGAATTCAGTCAACCTCTTTGCACTGCCCTGCAGATTGCCTTGGTTGACCTGCTGACGAGCTACGGTGTCTCTGCCGGTTCAGTTGTTGGTCACTCCTCCGGAGAGATTGCTGCAGCGTACGCTGTTAGGGCCATCTCCAAGTCAACCGCGCTGAGACTTGCTTTTCACCGAGGCGCTCTCTCTTCACAACTGTCCCGTGGTGAGGTTTCTCACACTGGCGGCATGATGTCGGTCGGCTTGGGCCAAGCTGAGGCAGAGAGCTACATTGCTGAGATTGAGCAATCCAAGACTCAAGTTTTAGTTGTGGCTTGTGTCAACAGTCCCAAGAATGTCACTGTTAGCGGTAGCGTCGGACTCATCGATGCTCTCAAGGAGAAGCTTGACGAGAATAGTGTCTTCGCCCGCAAGCTCACTGTTCAGAACGCCTACCACTCCCCACTCATGGAGCCCATCGCTGCCGAGTACAACCGTGTAATTGGCAAGATGAAGGCTGGGGCTTATCTCAATAAATCGGCTCACCCAACCTTCTACTCCTCCCTTGAGGGCAAGGCTATCGACATCAGCGCCCTTAGAAGCCCTGGATACTGGGTTAAGAACCTGCTCTCCCCGGTGCTCTTCTCCCAGGCTCTGTCTGCTCTGGTCAATGACTCCAATCAGAAGACCAAGAAACTCGGAGCCAAGTACAAGGGCACACCCATTACCGAGCTTGTGGAGATTGGTCCCCATGCGGCACTGAAGGGTCCTGTCAGAGAAATTTTGGCTCAGCTCTCCAACACCTCTTCTGTGGCTTATGAGTCAGTACTCGTACGCAAGCAGTCCGCCACAACCACCCTTCTCCAGACTATCGGTTGGCTATTCTGCAAGGGCCATGACATTGATTTCAATTCAGCCAGCGATGCTCAGCCTAAGCTTCTGGTAGATCTTCCCAGCTATCCCTTCAACCACACCAAGACCTTCTGGGCCGAGAGTCGTCTGAGCAAGGGCTACCGCTTCCGTCAGCATGCTCGTCATGAACTCTTGGGCGCTCCTGTGCCTGATTGGGACAAGTCCAACGCCATCTGGAGAAACTGGATCAGGGTCAACGAGAACCCGTGGGTCAAGGACCATCGTGTCACCGGCGCGACCTTGTACCCTGCTGCTGGTATGCTAGTGATGGCGATTGAGGCTAGCCTTCAGCTTGCAGCGCCAGAGAGAAAGATCAAGGGCTTCAGATTCAAGGAAGTCTCTCTGCACATGGCATTGCGCGTGCCACTCAACTCTGATGGTGTTGAGACTCACTTCCATATGCGCCCGTACGTCGACAGCACGGCCTTGGCCGCATCCAACTGGAGCGAGTTCGAACTTCGCAGTTATGAGAACGATGGTTGGGTTGAACACTGCCGTGGTCTCATCCAGACGGAGTACGAAGTTCCGTATACGCCGGTCGACAACGGCCTCGAGGATCGTCTTTTCGCCGAGCGTTGCGTGGAGACGGTCCGAGATGCTGAGACATCATGCACAGAGGAAGTCCAGATGAAGCAGCTTTATGAAATCCTGCAGACTGTCGGCTTCGACTTCGGACCTACCTTCCAGAATCTGTCCGACGTTCGCATCGATGCCCAGCGCAACTCAGTTGCCACAGTCACGCCTCCGGATATCAAGAGCAAGATGGCCTACGGTCACATTCAGCCTCATCACATCCACCCCACTACTCTCGATGGTGTCATCCAAAGCGTTGTCGTCGCCATGACCATGGGTGGTAAGGAGATGGGAGAGGTGATGATCCCCACTTCGTTCAAGGAGCTCTGGCTTTCTGCAGACGGCGCCAAACTCCAAAGCCCGCACAGGGTCCACGCCCACGCCAAGTTCCTTGGTCTTCGCCAGGCTGAGGCGACCTTCACTTCCATCGATGCAGCCACTGGAGAGCCTTTGGTTGTCGCTGAGGGTTTTGTATCTACCGCGATCGCTCAAAACTCTTCCAACAATGGTTCTGACTCCGGCCGCCATCTCTGCTTCAACATTGACTGGAAGCCTGACGTCAGCTTCGTGAACCAGGAGATCGCCACCCGCACTTTCCTTGCTGACGAGGAGCTTCTCAGCTTCGACCCATCTGAGCTGATCAAGAACCTGGAGACATTGTGCTTCTTGTACATGAAGAGATACATGAAGACTGTCACTCCTGAAATGGAGAAGGAGATGAAGCCTCACCACCAGAAGTACGTCGACTGGATGCGCTGGCAGTTTGAACGCTACGCGGATGGCAAGAACTTCCATCTAGACCCCGACATGGATACTATCGCGGAAGATGACACTTATCTCAAGGAGCTGGAGGACAAGATGGATGGCAAGTCTCCAGAGGCCACCCTTGTCGTCGCGGTGGGTCGGGCGATGCCGGATGTTCTGGCAGGAAAGCTTGATTCTCTCCAGGTTCTCTTCGCCGAGAAGCGCGCGGAAAATGTCTATCGCGCCGCAACCGGTGCTGCCATCAGCTACCAGAAGCTCTCAGCCTATGTGGATACTTTGGCCACTAAGGAGCCTGGCATGAAGATTCTCGAGATTGGTGCTGGCACCGGTGGCATGACGCATCCGATGCTGGAGACCCTCACTCACTACAAGGACCCCAACGCCAGCGGCATCCGCTTCGCTAGCTACGATTTCACCGACATCTCCCCTTCATTCTTTGAGAAAGCCAGAGAAGTGTTCCACTACGCCGTCGACCGCATGAATTTCAAGACGCTCAACATCGAGAACGACCCTGTTGCCCAGGGATTTGAGCTTGGCAAGTACGACCTCGTCGTTGCTGCGAACGTCTTCCATGCCACGCAGAGCCTCGATATCACTCTAAAGCACGTCCGTAAGTTGATGAAGCCCGGTGCTCAGCTTCTTCTGTACGAGATCACCAATAACACCCTCATGCAAACCGGTTTTGGCTTCGGTTTGCTGCCCGGTTGGTGGCTGTCTGAGGAGAACTACCGCAAATGGAGTCCCCTTCTCAGCGTGCCGGACTGGTCTGAACACATGAAGCGGACCGGGTTCACTGGTGTGGATTTGTCTTTCACAGACTACCATGACCCCAACAACCACGTCAGTTCCCTCATGGTCGCCACTGCATCCACCGGAGACGCCAAGCCTCGAGCTCGTCCAGAGGTCATCCTTGTGACTTCTTCATCCTCAGGAATCTCTGACTCTGTTGCTGCAAACCTTGACAGAACCCTTGCTCGGCTGGGTGTTGAAAGCCGCATCTGCTCGCTCCTCGACCTTCAGGCGGACGACTTCGCTCACAAGGTCTGCATCTTCCTGGGTGATCTGCAGGCACATCCATTCTTGTTGGACATGGCGCCTGAGCAGTTCGATGGCCTGAAGAAGATGGTGACATCTGCCAGTGGTCTCCTGTGGTTAGCTTCTGGTGGTGGCCCATCATGCAAGACTCCGACCGCGGAGCTAGTGACTGGCTTCTCAAGGACCGTCAGAGCGGAAAATCCCAAGCTGAAGTTCGTCACCTTGTCGCTTGAGAATGGGAGAGACGTTGAGGGCATCTCCAAGTACACCACTCAGCTCTTTGATGCCATTTTCCTTTCTGGAGATGAGTCAGTTGTGGACAATCAGTTCGCAGTGGTTGATGGAACTATCCACATCCCCCGTCTGGTGGAGGCAACTTACATGGACAAGGCCATCAACGCCAAGACGAACAAGCCCAGACCTGTTGAAGCAGAGTTCGGCTCCGATCCCAGCAGAGCTCTGAAGATGGTCGTCGGCTCGCCCGGTCTTCTTGACACGCTGCATTTCATTGACGATCCGCTATACGAGCAACCTCTCGCGGATGATCAAGTCGAGTTCAAGGTCATGGCGAGTGGTCTCAACTTCCTCGACATCATGGTCTCGCTCGGTCAGGTGATTGGCAACCAGATTGGTATCGAGGCTTCTGGTATCGTCACTAGGGCTGGCAAGGACTCTCCTCTCAAGCCTGGCGACAGAGTCGCAGGCATGCTGAGAGGTTCGGTCAAGACCTACGCCAGGACTCCTTACAAGGCCCTCGCCAAGCTTCCCGATAACCTCTCCTTCATCAATGCCGCCACCCTGCCCGTCGTTTTCGTCACCGCCTACTGCGTGTTGTATGACATCGCAAACGTTCAGCCTGCAGAGACCGTCCTCATTCATGCGGCAGCCGGCGGTGTTGGCCAGGCCTGCATTCAGCTTGCCCACCTTCGCGGCGCCGAAGTCTACGCTACTGTGGGATCCCTCGATAAGTGCGAGCTTCTCGAGAAGGAATATGGCATCCCACGAGACCACATCTTTTCCAGTCGCGACTTGACATTTGCGCAGGGTATTAAGCGCATGACCAAGGGCAGAGGCGTGGACGTCGTTGTCAATGCTCTCTCTGGCGCAGCTCTTCGTGCCTCCTGGGATGTCATTGCTCCTTTCGGTCGCTTTGTTGAAATCGGGAAAGTCGACATTTACTCGTCTGCTCGTCTGAATATGGAGAAGTTCAAGAACAACGTCCGCTTCGAGTTCTTGGATGTCAGCTACTTTGGCGAGAACCACGAGGATTCTTTCAACAGGGTTCTCAGGGCTATCATGCAGCTCGTCGCTGAGGGCAAGATCAGCGAGCTGCGCCCCGTCACGACCTATCCTCTGTCACGTGTTGAGGAAGCGTTCCGATACATGCAAAGCGGTGCCCATTCCGGCAAGATCGTGATTGAACCGCACGATGACGATAAAGTTATGGTACGTGTAGACGGACAACTGCGCGCCTTGGATTGACGCTAACTCAGTAAACAGATTATGCCGAGCCAGAAGCCAACTTACCACTTCGATCCCAACGCGTCTTATGTTATTTCCGGTGGTCTGGGTGGTCTTGGACGCAGCATGGCCAGTTGGATGGTACGGCGTGGGGCCAAGAATCTCATCCTGCTCTCCCGTTTCGGCCCCGTTCGTGAATCAGGTCAGAAGCTCATTGCTGAGCTTGAGGCTCAGGGAGTCCGAGTCGCCGCTCCACCTTGCGATGTGACCAGCAGACAGACCCTCGAGCGCGTTCTTGAGGACTGCCAGAAAGACATGCCTCCGATCAAGGGATGCATTCAGGGCTCAATGGTTCTCAAGGACGCCGTTTTTGCGAACATGACCTTGGAGGACTACGATACTGCCGTTCGACCCAAGGTGCATGCATCTTGGAACCTCCACGAGGTCTTGCCAAAGGACATGGACTTCTTCATCCTCCTTTCCTCTGGCTCCGGTATCGTTGGAAAGGGCGGCCAGGCCAACTACTGTGTCGGCAATGCATACCAGGATGCCCTTGCCCGCTACCGCGTCAGCCATGGCCTCAAAGCTACTGTCCTCGATCTCGGCATCATCCTGTCAGTCGGTTATGCCGCCGAGAAGATCGACGTCATGGGCCACCTCCGTGCCCAGGGCTATGCTGCTCTGAGAGAAGAAGAGTATCATGCTCTTTTGGACGAGATCTGTAACCCGGCCAACTCAGTTGCTCCTCTCGTTCGATCCCAGATCTCACTGGGCTTCGAGATCCCCGAGACCCTCCGGTCCAAGGGTATTGAGTTCCCTGGCTGGATGCACGAGCCTTTGTTCAAGCATATCCACCAGATTCGCACGATGGGTGGCAACACCGAGGAGAGCAAGGACTCTGTAAACTACAGCATGTTGCTAGCTGGTGCCGAGACCCTTGAGGCTGCTGAGAACGTCATTACCAAGGCCATCATCCAGAAGCTCTCCAGAGCCTTGGGAATTGACGCTGCCACTATTGATTCATCGCAGCCCCTACACGCGTATGGTGTTGATTCCTTGGTCGCCGTGGAGTTGAGGACTTGGTTGTCGAAGGAGATGGGCGCTGAGGTAGCCGTGTTTGACATGGTTGGCGACTCGACTATCAGATCACTGGGCACCTTTGTGGCTGCGAGAAGCACATTGGTCAGAATTAATAATGGAGAGAATTGAGTCGGGGTATTAGACGGGTCGAAATGTACATAACTGACTGAATTTGTATATAGCTACCTTAGACTCTGATGGTACTCGTTTCGTATTTTCGTTTCAGTTGCAACTCCGGGAGCCTGTATTCTTCTAATGACAGAATTCGAATCTTGCCCAGATGCCAGTGCGCATCATTTCCACTCCATCTCAATAAAAGTTTTCGACTTTCACGCGACTAGTGATTACTGTGATAACGGCAGAGACGAGGACGACGACGAGGACGACGACGAGGACGACAACGAGGACGACAGCGAGGATGACAACGAGGATGACAACGAGGATGATGATGAGAACGACAATGACCTCATTGAGTATAATAAGAAACATCAAAGGAGAGAATAGTGAATATGCAATTAATAGTAGTAGAGAGATGAAAGAGGAATAATAATCGCTGGACAGTGCTCTACCCAATTACATGCCTAGCAGCTAGAGGTATACGGGCGAAGAGTAAATTTCCCGTTCAATAGCTCTAGGTTCTAATCTTCCTGGTAGTCTTTGTTGCGTCCCCTTTCTGCCAAGAAACAAAGTCGTGATACCCAAAGTCCGGGTGATAATCCGCAGGCTTCAGCTTCCCAGAGCTAGGGAGCAGCCTGCCCACGGTGTTGGTGAGAGCACTACCAGCAGCGCTGCGCGCAGTGTTGACCTTATCCCCAGCCCAAGACTGGATGCCAGAAAACCAGCCATTGCTCTTGGGCTCAGCTGCCTCCCGCTCTTCCTTTAGTCTCTGTGTCTCTTTTTGTCTGTAGAGAAGGTTGTGGTTGACTTCAATGAAGAGCCTCTCCCACATTCCAATGCGCTCTTCTGGGAGAATCTTGCCTTCCTTCTCCCATACCCAGTTATTCTTCGCTTCCTCCAATTGGTAGAGATCAGACTCAAAAGGAAGCTGGTGGAGGACCAGTTTATGATCGGTATTGGGGTCGATCGGCATTCCTCCGTGAACTGATGCGACAGTCCCACTGAGCGTCTCGTACGTCGACGCAATGAAGTCCTTGTGGTGAGGGTCCTCGACTTGGAGAGGGACGCTGCTCTTCTGCAATTTGTACCCATTCTTGGTCAAAGCAGAACATTCCCAGTCGCCATTGTCGTCCAATCCAAGACCATCGTAGAGATAGCGAATGCGTACAGATGGGTGGATGAGTTCGTTGGGTTCTTGAATGACGTCTTTTCTGCCATCCTCCATGTAGGACCCAGGCGTGCGCGTGCCAGCCACAGTATTCCCACCCGTGACGGTCTGCCAAGGGTACCAAAGAGCGTTGTAAGCTTTGTCGGGGATTGTGGTAGTCGCCGAAGGGCTGGAGATGCGACCCTTGCCCCATTCTCGGGCCTCGACAGATGGATCGAGGGTGTAGAAAATTCGCTTCATCTCTGGGGTAGAAAACTCAACTCCAACTGAGGCGAGTTGATCCGCCATCCCTGCAAGAAATGGGTGTTAATCACTTGCTGACTGCTTCGTCAAGGGAAGGCGAAGAAATACATACATGCAAGCGCAATGGTCGCGATCTGTTGATCCTCAAAACCCCCGCCGACGTTACTGTGGCTTCCTGGAAACCATACTTGACGAAGATGGGTGGTGGTGTTGCCCCTCTTACCCCAAAGAGTGGGGGAAAAGGCAGTGCGCCATTCATCGAGGGCTAAGGCGTGGAATGCGTGCTCGACGTTGGGGTGAACATCCAGACTGGCGAATCGAAGCTAAAGACTGTTAACTCAGATGCCTAATACAATATTACGGAAGATTGCTTACTTCATCGGCGCTTCTATCGGTGCGAATCTTCTCCCAAGGCATCTTAGGCCAGCCGAGGCTGCCGACCGTATCCCAGACCCCTGTTCATACCTACATGTTAGCTAGATTCCAGAACCTTTGTCCCTTCGTGGATACTGACCGACAGCCTGAATGGTGACAACAACTGGTGCAAAGTACCAGTCTGTCTTCCCATCTCTCTCTTGCAACGTTCTCTCGCAAAGAATCATTTGATGCTACAGATCAACATGTCAGTATCATCATCATATGGGATAGAAGTCCTCTTGCTAACCTTCTCCAAGAAATCGCGATACTTCTGGGCCATGGTAATCAAGTCCATGCCATCGACGTCCTGCTTCTTGCACTTTGTAATTCTGTCGAAGAACTTCTGCTTGTCCTCGTCGAGTTCCTTCTGTAATGTGGCATGATCTTTCCTGTTATCTTTGGTCCGGAATCTTTCCAGTCGTTCGTAATTGGTGAGGGTAAAGCCAGCAAGGTGGTCTTCGATATTGAACTTGGTACCAGGCCTCCAGTTTGGAAAGTTCTGGTAGTCATGGAAGATGTCACCAAAGTTGGCGAGTCCGACACGATTGAGGAGACCGATGTTGCAGACCATGCCCGAGACAGATCGCGCGGTGAAGGCGCCTCTGGAGAAACCTACGATGACGAGCTCATCCCCTGGGTTGTAGTTGTCGCAAATGAAACGGTACACATCGGCAACATCCTAGGAGGCGAGTTTGTTATGATTATCCGGCCCAAAGACGAGCATTGTAACGCAGGTGAACTCACCTGAATAATTCCCTTCCCTAACACTCCGCCCAAGGCTTGTGCGACCTTGGACTCCTCGGTGCCTGCGCCGCGGTGGTAGAACACAATCTGGGGCATGCCGGTGCAGCACTTGTGGGCGACCGCAGCCGATAGCCGGGCAACATTGGTGGAGATGTTGCCTTTCTGGTTGCTGTAGAAGCCCTTCCATCAGCGCATTCTTTCTTGGCTTCTACGGTGATACGAATGCTCACGAGTTATTCCAAGTTCCATCACAGCAAATCACCAATCTTTTCTTGTTCGCATACTTGCTCGTTTTGTGGGCGCATGGCTCAAGCTTGGGGCCTAGTTGGGGAACTTCGAGTTGGATCTCGGAGACCCATGGGTGGTACTCAGTGGCTGGATCGGTCATGTTGCGATTAGCGAGTTGACCGGGTTTTTTTGACACGATCTAAGCATGCATTGCATGTAATGTAAGGACTGCCGTCCATTTATGTCAGGGCAAGAACGTCTGATTGTTTAGAAGGAATGACATGATCGCCGTTGTCAATGCCGAGCGCCCGCTGTGAGACAATATTTTGCGAGCTATTTCAGAGTAGTCTTCAAGGGGGATCCAATCATTTCCTAGGGTTGACTAGTATCTGTGTGTGGCTTGTTGATGTCTTGTTCACATTTCACATTGTTATTGAAGGCCAGACTTTCGTTCCAAGATTAACACTCGGTAGATGAGACCCCAGCCGCTTCGGCCCTCTAAGAGCGAATGATGCTCGCCAGCGCTGATGATTTCCACCGCGATTCAAATTTCGCATTTCGTGAACCACTTCATGGCAACATGACAGCTTCCTCAAAAAATCGGCGAAACATGTTAGTAGATGTTCCATTCCTATCGCGATAATAGGCTCAACTTGCTGGGGCAGCTTTTGCTGAATGCAGCTATCACAGGATCATGATATGATTGGTCAATTCATGATGTGGATCATCTGTGAATGAAGTCAAATGCCTGAGCAGCGAAGGTTGATTCAGAAGGGCAAATAAGATGACGTCTTCCTGAGACATGATAGCTCAGCACACAACAGACTAGGCAGCGCATTTGAACCGCGAAGAGCTATGATTATTGATCAATTTGACTCCAGCTTTTCTAGCATCCGCCGAGGGCTCTTCTTCCGCGTGTGATCTGCCGATCGTCTAGCCGATTGACACCCGCCTGGGTGGATCATCGAAGAAACAGTAGGGGTCTGTGCCGTGGGTTCCACCCAATGACAAGTCTACGAAGAGAACGATTTACCGGTTATTTCTGATGAATACGATTAGATATTACGTAGTAAGATAGGTCTAGAATAGGTGATGCGCTTTTAGCCGAATATGATGGTGAACCCCATCCCTCCTGCGATTTCCCTCCAAGTGTCTACCCGCCCACTACAGGTGTCATTCACGTTGTCCATGCTCACTGAGGCCCATTGATGAAGGACGATGGCGCGAGCTCTCTCAATGTTTATCATGCCTTGCCTTCTCTCAATTTCCATGAAGGCATATCTGGCAAGGCCACGGTCGTGGTCCGTGATGGCCTCGCAAGCAGCCACAAACAGCGGCCAGAGAAGGGCATTCACCGGTCCGCCAGAGGAGATCACTGCTACACAGCTCTTGAGTGCTAGATAGCAGTTCGTTTGGACAGCCGGATGGTTGACTGGGTATCCGTAGATAGAACGGTTCAAGTAAACCAGTGCACTATGGCGATAGGCGAGCGAGTTGTGGACCATCGCCTGTAGAGAATCTTGTGCGCCTGCCTGTGTCTCAAACGGCGTGGTGATGTTCTTTGGCAGTATTGGTGGTACCCACTCCTGCAAGGCGTTCTCAATTGCTCTGGATGTTGCTTCGTACTCCGTGCGTAGCACTGAGACCTTGGATTGTTGGTCTGCGGTTACGGCGGATTCCAAGTCGCCCTTCAGGGCTTTGAGAGAGCTGAGCCGATACAGAATAGGCCAGAGATCTCCAGTCATGCCTAGAAGAGGGTCTCCAAAGGTTGTCCGAGTCAACTTCGGAGATGGCAAACCCAGGGGATACTCGTGGTCTGAGTCAGGCGTGGCCGATACTGGGCTGGCAGCGAGTGACAAGGCCGCAATGACGTCGTAAAATTGAAATGCCTAGATTACGATTAGTAATCGAATTGTATCGGTAGTTTTCGCAGTATTGAGACCAACCTTTTCGAGGAACTTGACGCTCTGGCTCTTTGCCGACTTGGGCATGGAGCTGAGGACAACAAATGCACTCCGAAGGTGCTCAAGTACCATATTTGAGGACCCAGTGAGGGTGAGCTGTGTTCGATCAGTAAAGTTCCGACAAGAAGGGCATGAAACTTACCGATTCGTAATAGACGAGCAACATGGTCGCTGCCAGTACCTCCTCGTAGCGGCAATTCTGTTGCACGAGACTGAAGACGCCCTCCGCTGCCAGAACGCGGAAGTTGGATGAATGCTTGGAGTCCTGCACACCCATATACTCAAGGTGTCCCTTGGAAAAAGCACACATGGCGTGCAAGACAGGGGAGTTCTCGGAAGCAAGTGGGAGAATGAGCTCTTGGAATGAGTTGTCCGGCTCCTCCGTGAAAACAATGAGATGTGATAGAACAGTGCAAAAGTGATGAATCAGTTTCCGATCTTGGGTGTCATCGGTGAGATTAAAGAACGAGGAATAGGGCAGCTCGAGCATGGAAGTGAGGCCTGGCTGGGATGTTGCGGAGGTAGTGATCAGTTCCTGCGTGAAGTCTGAGCAGGAGCCTGGTTCATCCATGCTTCCAAACTGCTCGAACAACCTTGAGTTCATTTGTTCTTCAGAAAGATCAAATTGGCAAGACGAACTACCCCAATCAGGTGTGTCGCATGATGACACACTGGAAGTGGAAAGGGCTACTTCGGAGGATTCGACGCAGGGTTCTTCAGAGAGCTGTCCCCAGGAGTACTCTGCCCCGGTCTTTGGCTCACGGCTCAGTACCCGGGCCTTTTGACGCGGTTGGGAAGTAATCCCGTCGGCTCTAGACCGGCGCCGCTTGACTGGGAGATAGACACAGTCCAGACCTCTTTCTTCGCATCGTGTGCACTGCGGTCGTCTCTCGCAGCACTTCTTTCTTGCGTCTTTACTTGAGACAATGTCAACGGGGGGTTCCACTGCGGCGGAAAAGTAGCATACCATGAGGCGCAGCCTACAGATTGAGATTCGTTAGCGACAAGTAAAGGTAAGTCTGAAATAGAATGGAGATAACATGCCTGTTCGCGTCCTCCTCTTTGGCACTTTGGGAGGCATAGGCTTTGCGAAGAGCAGCATCGTGGCCTACATCCAAAGAAAAAAACGTCAACTAAAGAAGGCTGTAAATAGCAAACGCTTGGAATAAAAATAAGTTTCACCCTTGGGATGAACACATAGCTTGATCTCATTCATAATCATAACCTGGGCTTGCGTGGAGACTGTTATAAGAGAAAAGCCACTGGCGTGGCTGATGCGAAGGCATCGATTAGGGCACACCATCCCCAACATGGATGATGCCCTCACACCGACTGAAGGATCTGCGGGCACTCAATGCTGCCGTCACTTGCCATGTGGGAAACATGTGGCCATGATGCATCATGCAGGTCAACTTCGGACGGTTTCAGAAGCTTCCCCTCCTTCTAGAAGCCACAGCTTGCATGCTATCATATCCTATCTGAAGTGACAGTGTCACCCAAGACAGGTTTTGATATTACCCGGCAATCTTATGCCGGAAGATATGGATTGGGAGGGCAGACTGAGCTGAACGTTCGCAAGCAACGCCACGTTGGTGTTCTAATGCCCGATCTGATTTTCCTTCCTAGGCAGCCAAGTCCGGAAAACTGACCAGATCTGTGATCTGTTCCCTGAAGGGACTTTACGCCTCTCCTCTATCACTGTGAAAACCTCATCAGTCGCCTGATCAGTTGGCTCGTACATCCAGCCGCTGGACATTACCCAGGGCAGCTCCACTGTCAGTTGCCGGTTCCAGGCAGAGATCGTCTCCAACGTTCCCAATCTAGACCGCTAGAGGTGCTGCGACCGCTTGTCCTGTGACCTGTCATGCATAAGCTTGGGCTCCTGAGGATGTTATTCCCCGTGTGGATGTCAGACTCTGACGATTACGGCGAGTCTGAGGTTCTCGCTTGAAAAACCATGCGGGGAAATTTCCCATCCCACCGGCACGAGTTGACACTGCAACCCCACTACAGCTGTAATACCACGACATATCCAATCACGTAGTGGAGCTAATCACAACATGAGAGAGGCACAGCTGTATTGAAACGATCGGCATGACCGTTTTTTCCCCAGGTTTCTCCCCCACACTCCGGTAGAGCTTCTCTCTGCCACTCATTGGCGCGCCTCGACTCTAGCACCCAGCCACAAATTCATGGTGCGGGCTCTCGCGCGGTCTATTGGAGCGCAAGACAAGACTCCTGAACAGGTCTGCGTAACGGTCTAAGTTTCTGCAATGCAATCGTGGCTGCGAATCCTCATGCGAGCGAGACAGCTCGTCCCCTTTACGCCCGCTGTCGGTCGCCCCGAATTGTATAAGACAGTTGTGGGGAAACTGAAGTTCATGTAAAGCTTTGACTTCGATGCAACTTATGCGGGCGCTTCAGGAGGCAGAATGGCGGTCGTTTACTTTGAGACCAGTTGGGCGATCCTCAGCACAATCGGCTTGGCAAACGTGCTCTTCGGGTTCATGATCGCGGGCATCACCGCCTTCTCCCCGGTCTCGCTTATCCCCATCATCGTATCGGCGGCTGGCGCCACGGCAAATGGCCTCTGCTACTACAGCTTCTATGCAGATTACCCTATCCTGAACACGGCGATATCGTCTGCTTTTGCGGACTTGTTGTGGATGGTAGTGTAGGACCATTCTTTTTGTGTAATGAAACAATTGTGTTCATCGATGCTGATCCTTGATAGGTCCAAGAGGCCGGTATCTCGTTTTACAGCTATGCCATTCTTACCAAGGTGTTAAGGAATCGGGACCGCGTTGTGTTTATGTCTCTGTTCTGGTTCATGATGGTCGCCATCTTCGTCCTCAGAATCCTCATTCTCACTGCTCGGGTGAAGATCTTGGTCAACGGCGAGTCGCAGCTAAGAACAACCATCAACGGGCTGCACGTGGGCTACTTCACCTCCATGGCACTCCTAGAGTGCGTTGGCGCGTACTTTCTGTTGCGCAAGTTCGCGGAGGCGAAGAGTCTGTCCTTGGGAGCTTCGATGGTGCCGACCCTCTTCCAGCACCTTATGCGAAGCACCGAAATTCGCCTGGCGGTGCTAGCGTTGATCGGAATAACGCGGGCTGTCGCATACTTCTTCCAGCCTTCAATCCAGAAGGCCGAGACTGTAGCAAGTCAGATCGACCGCTTTGTTTACACTTTGGAATGCATGTTTCCTGTCATTATCTTGTGAGTCTTCATTCTGCGATTATGGCCACACTTGTGGAAGCTGACAATATTCAAGTATTGATATCCTTGCCTCAAGGCTCGTATTTGAGCAGAGTGCGCATGACAACTCGTCTTTCCAACTTGCCGCCAGACGGCATACACAGCACGAACAATTACCGCGTGGAAGCGCAACGTATGTGACAACGTGGAGTGGAGGCCATACAGGCAAGTCACCAGTTCGGAGGGAGTCGGGAACAAGTCGTTCATCCTTGTTTACGTCCGAAAATGTTGGCGAAACCATCTTTGTGGAGGACATCAACGAGCGGGGTCTCGCTGAAGCTCCTCTACCATCCGGTATCACCAAGACGATTGAGATCAAGATTGAGAAAGCGGCCAGAAAGCCTTTCGACAAGGAATAAATCATCAGGTTTATTAGAACCATGAGAGTACATGTAATCTTAATACCTTTGGCAAATGTCAATCTCGTCATGCCCTATCTAAATGCTGTCGCTGGATGCTCTCGATGAAAATGGCAATGTCATGTGTGTACCTCAGCAGCGAAAGCAGAGGCGACATAGGAAAGTCTCAATGCCCTGGGCTACATGAGCTTCAGAGATGGGTTCTGACTACCCATAGCCGGCCAAGCGTTTGCACCCGTCGTAGAGGTTTTGGTCTAGTCGTGGCTTATAACATCTGCGGCATGGCACATTGTCTGTTACTGAATTTCTCGGTGTAATGGGTTGTGGCAGCGTGAAGAGAGAGATGCCTGCCTCGTGTAATTGGGGCGATTCGCGCTCTCTTCATATACCCCCATAGGTAGCTATAGAGGTTTCTCTGTGAGCTATCCTAGCCCTCGAATATTTCCCCGTGAGAGTTATACAGCAGTTAACAAAGTGCGCCTCCAGGCGGCAAACTGCGAAGAAAAAAGTTAGAAGGGAAGAAAGATTCTCGGGGTCATTACTAGGCGCGGGCAATCTTAATATTCCTCGCAATTAGAAGAGATTACTGAAAGGCACTGAGTGTAATTATTTACTCAAAGTGCTGTAGGAACACCTGGTTTGCAGATGCCCAAAGAAGAATTGAAGTCCAATATCATAGTCACGCTATCTTATCGCCACCTTCGTCCCCGTTCTCAACCCCGTCCTCGTTGGAAGTGATCACCCAGTTTCCACCGAAGCTTTATGTTCGCAAAACGAACCAGTTCTATACCACCAGAACTCCAACGCCAAACTGACCCAGTTCAACAGTGAAAACTCCTTCGTCGTCTCCAGAGATATTGAGTACAGCGGGTGGAGCAATGACATTAGGGTTTTCGACGGAGTTGGCGTCGTCTGGGCCGGCAGTGATGGAAGTGAAAGAAGCCTTCAAGCTCGCCTTACCAGGGACCTGAATGCGAACCTCAGTCGAGTTTGAAGCGTATTTAGCAAGCTTGACAATGGCTTGGCCATCTGCCTTCTTGCTCGCAGCCCACCAAATAACATGAATGGTCAACGATTATTCCAAGAGATGAGGATGTTGAGTGATTTACCTGGATTGACCTCCACATCAGCTTTGACAGGGACAACAACTTCGCCATGATTAGTGGCGAACATCTTCTTAACATGGTACGATGGCGTGTAGACGATGCCATCAGGCTTGTTGGTAAATGGAATGAGGTTGGGCTAGTCAAAATACGTTAGCTGACCATGCGGGTTTCGACGAGAGGAAGAAAGTCTCACAGTCCATTGGCCGTTAACGGGGTCGTAGTTCTGCAGTGTGGGCGCATAGGCAGCTAACTTGATCACGTCCGCGTTGCGCTCCCATCCCATCATGTAGACCGCCTCAGAACAGGCACCTCTCATATCAGACCACTTGACGCCCCACCTGGCGTACTCGCCGATGAAAACGGGATGAGCGCGGTCCCAGTCGTCGTAAAAGTCGAATGCATTGATGTAGTTCTCCGGGACGTTGTAGTCATGGAAGTCGAGCCATGCGCCCTCGGGGATCGGGTCTGGCAGGCAATTGCGGTCGGACGTGGATGTGAGGATGGTGAGTTGCGGGTATGCCTCCTTGATGGCGTCGAAGAATTGCACGAATCGTTGCTTGTAAGATTCACAGCCACCGGCGAGGTTGTCTTCGTTTCCAATCTCGACGAATTTGAGTTGGTATGGCTCCGGATGCCCAAGAGAAGCGCGAAGTGCACCCCCAGAAGTGTTGATGTCACCGATGACGAACTGTGAATGTTAGCTTGCGACTGGATGATAAGCAGAGGGTAACCAACTTCTATCTCGCGAATCTCGTCGTCAACATATGGTTCAAGCTCTGCCCCTACCAATGGCGGGAGACCTGCAAGCCAAGACCAGCCCAAACATCCAAGATAGGCTCCATAGACATGTCTTCGCACCAGTGGAAGTACTCCATGAGGCCAAGACCGTCAGTGTTGACATATCCCCAAGTACCTGTACCAGGGGGAAGAGACGATTAGCCTCGTCGTATTAACGTTGTAATGGCATCATGGATGGAGTCAAAACCTACCCCAACGACCTGGCCGGGATTCCAGAGCACCGAGTGTCTCGTTCCACTTCCATCGGTCGTCCGGGCCGCCTCCCTCTCTATGAAGAGATTAGTAAGCCTAGTCAACTCAGAGGACAAGGAGATTTAGGTGGCTTACAGATTGTTGCCACCAGGAAACCTGAGAAACTGGGGGCTGAGATCGACAAGGGCTTCCGACAGATCCACAGTCAAGCCATTCTGTCTTCCCTTGAACGTGGGAGGGAACAAAGTGGGGTAACCGAGGTTGATGGATCCGCTGGTCAGAGTCTCGGCTAAGATCTCGAAAACCCAAAGGTTGTCACCATCGGGGGCCGCTGTGGTCCAGAAACCGGCCTCGTATCGAGTCCAGGAATCGGCCTTAGAGTCCACAGGGATGATGGCCCAGCCGTATTCAACATCAGTCTCATTGCCCAGGAGTCGGATCTTGACATCGCCTTGGAAGTAGCCACGAAGCCAGAAGGTGCTGTTGTAGTAGCCACCATCGACGATGATACCGCGGTACCCAGGGTTCGCGACGCCAGTGAAGCCACCAGATCCGGGAGGGACAGTGATCTTCAGGAACGAAGTGATGGCGCTGGTCAATGGGGTGTCGGCGTCATGAGAAATGCTAGCCGAGCCATAGTGGACAGTCCAGGGATCGAGCATGGTCACCTTGCCCTGGAAGGCGTTGTTGCGGAGTTGCTGTGAGTAGAGACCTTTTCGCAGTGTTAGACATTCGACCAACCAGCCCCGAAGCTATGTCATATGAACGGCGAAGACTACGTACCTCCGTCACCGCTGTTACTAATGTCCTCGAACATAAGTCCATGAAGCAAAGGACTGATCTCATGACCAGGGCTGTCGGGATCAACCTGAAGCAGGAGTGCTCCTGTCAGAGTAGCCGTAGCTACAAGACCAAAAAGACGAGAATAATGCATCGTTGAACCTTCCTAAGGGAACTTGGCAGAGTGATGGCGTGAATCACAAGGGCATAATCACAAAGCAGGACGTCCGATATATATTAATAAAAGGAAGCATTCATATTGACCATGTTGCGATTTCTCTGATTTTTCAAATCGCAAGCTATTTGAAACGCCCCAATCGCAATTTGACGTCTGTCGTCCTTGGTAACTCTGGATCTGGCCACTTTCCATCCCTTGACAATGGGGTGCCAAGGCAATACTAAAGTTGAAAGAAAAGAAGCGTTCTCATATTCAAGTGTCAAAGCTGTGATTGGTGGTTAAATAAATTATTTCGGCTGGAGATCTGTGTTTGTCGTTGTACGACAGACATTTTGCAGTTTTCATAGAGACTAGTCGGCATGCCAAGAGGTGCCAATATGCTAATATGAAGGTCAAGATCATTGAGACCAATCGGAACACAAGCGAGAAGACGTTGGAGAGGTGGGTGAGGTCAGCGGTCGAAGTCTGGCTCCTAGCCGCAAGCGCCGGGATACGCTCCTCTCCCCAGCTCGCGGATAGCGATAACGTGATGGTTTGTGGGGTAGGTGGGCTCACCCTATTTTGGCCTGGATGTATTCTCCTACCGTCCCTTTCTCATGTAATTTCAGGCGAGATTTACTTCCAGCTGCGCGCTTCTATTGTGGGTCTCATACGGATGCAGCTGTCGAAGGTTAAGTCTGCGCCTTATTTCATGTGACTTGGGCGATAGCGATTCTCTTTCGTGGGTGCCCTCCGAGGTCCGAACGGAGAGATGGCTAACTTCACAGACTCATTTTAGTAGGCCTTTGGAGTCAAAGTTTATGTAGGTGCTGCAGTGAAGTAAGATTTGGCATATTTATTGCGAGTGATCAGGCGGCGTATTCCGTTTGTGTTGCGTCTATGACAGCCCTGTCACACATGGGCTGTCAATGACGGTTTTGGTTGCGATCCTAGAAGTGTGTTGGTGGCACGGAAGTGCGAACGCGACTTTACGAGAGCATCGGTATCTTCGAAATAAACACAATTGCGGAGAAATCGCCATTTCTCCACGTTTTCCTTCTTTGATTTGCCTCTTTCCCGGCTTGGGACGGGTATTCGATGCATCCGCACCAATGATGATCCAGCGTTTGACATCGCGACGCAATGACACGTAGAGTAACATCTCATCATTCCAGCCTCGGGCAATGAAATTAGGTAGAAGACTTTTCTGAATTCTACGTACCTTTTAGTATAATTATGCTGCTCACTCTCCAGTCATCTGCTATTCCAATTCGAAGGATCTCAACCGCTTTTCGCTGGCCTTCATCTCTCCGACCACCACCGCCGCCATGACTAAGACGTCTCAAACTTCGGCCATCATGAAGTCTTTCCTCTTGATCAGTGGCCTTCTGTCCGCCATTGGTCGTGTTCAAGCCGACAATCCTATCGTGCAGACACAATACATAGCTGATCCAGCACCCCTTGTGGTCGGGGATCGCGTCTACCTCTTCACCGGCCACGATGAAGATAACTCCACCAACTTCGGCATGCGCGAATGGCTCCTCTTCTCCTCCGTTGACATGGTCAACTGGCAACACCACGGGTCGCCCATGAACGTGGCCACCTTCGCCTGGGCCGAGGCCAATGCGTGGGCCGGGCAGGCCATTGAGCGCAACGGCAAGTTCTACTTCTACGTCCCGACGACCGCGATCAATGGCAGCATGTCCATCGGGGTAGGCGTCAGCGACACCATCACAGGTCCCTACGTCGATGCCATCGGCGCCCCTCTTCTCAGCAACGGACAGATTGACCCGACTGTCTATATTGACGACGATGGGCAGGCGTACATGTACTGGGGCAACCCGGATCTGTTGTATGTCAAGTTGAACGAGGACATGATCTCCTACAGCGGGAAATCACCAAAGTAGACCTCACTGCGGAAGGCTTCGGGGCTCGTGAAGGCAATCCGTCGCGTGCTACCACCTTCGAGGAGGCACCGTGGGTGTATAAGAGGGGCGATCTATACTACATGATTTTCGCGGCAGTATGCTGTCCCGAGGACATTCGATACTCGACGGGTCCCACTATCACGGGGCCATGGACGTACCAAGGCCAGATTATGCCCACAGAGGGCGGCAGCTTCACGAACCACCCCGGCATCATCGACTTTGCCGGCAAGTCCTACTTCTTCTACCACAACGGCACCTTACCTGGAGGCGGGGGCTTCACGCGTTCTGTAGCCGTGGAGAGTTTCGAATACAACGCCGATGGAACGATTCCCCAGCTTGAGATGACGACCGAGGGGCCGGCACAGATTGTTAACGTGGATCCTTACGTCCGTCAGGAGGCTGAGCTCATTACGTGGTCGGAGGGAATCGAGGTCGAAGCGTCCAGCGAAGGTGGGATGAGCGTCGCATACATCAATGATGGAGATTACATCAAGGTCAAGGGGATTGACTTCGGGGATGGAGCGGCATCTTTCACTGCTCAGGTTGCCTCGGCGACTGGTGGGGGGAACATTGAGTTGCACCTTGACAGTATCTCTGGTCTTCTTGTTGGTACGTGTGATGTCGCTGGGTCTGGAGGATGGCAGTCGTGGACGTCTGTGACCTGTCCCGTTAGCGGCGCTGAAGGGGTCCACGATCTGTTCTTTAAGTTCACGGGTGATGGATCAGACTATCTCTTGAACTTCGATTGGTGGCGATTTGACAAATGAGCGACGGACATATTCTGATTCGCCTTGGGATATGTCGACATATTTTGTACATAGTTGGCATTGGGTATTTTCATTGACAGGCCTACGGCCGACGTGTATTAAGTTTCACAACAACTAATGAGGGTATGAGTAGTCTATGTGTCCAGAGAAGGCGAAAAGATACAAGAAACAATTTTGGGTACAGGTGGTAAGAAACGACAGGTCTAATCGTCGAGATGGACCTTGGTCTCAATCAGCCAGTCGTTGGTAGTGATGCCATTCATGTCACTTGGGCCAATTAGTTGGCCATGCCCCAGCGGGGGGCGTTGACGATCAGACCGGTCAAGCAGCCGGAGATGATACCGGCGGTGGGAAGGGTGATGATCCATCCCATGTAGATCCAGCCAACCATGCGCCAGTTGATTGAGCGCCAGGTACCGGAGCAGAGACCAACACCGACGGTGGCACCGGTGATGCACTGAGTGGTTGAGACAGGGAGCTCTGCAGAAATGATTAGGGAAAGTGTTCAGTTTTGGCAAGCAAGGAGAACTTACTGAGACGGGTGGCCAGAATGATGGTGCAAGCAGCGCCCAACTCCATCGAGAAACCACGAGCGGGAGAGTGGAGCGTCAATCGGTTACCCAGGTTGCGCATGATGTTGTATCCGTAGGTCCAGATACCGAGGGCGATGCCAGCACCGCCGAAGCAGAGAATCCAGATCGGGACTTCGGACTTGCTTCCGGATATCGCGCCGGTGTGCCAGATCTGGTAGATAGTGGCGTAAGGACCGATGGCGTTGGCGACGTCGTTGGCACCGTGGGTGAAGGAGGCGGTACACGCGGTCATGACTTGCATGAAAGAGTACAGGAACTCGGCCTTGTTGTCATAGTGCTGAACGCGGGCGTGCATCTCCTCGAGATCACCGGTAAGAACGCTCTCCTTCTTCTGCATGTTGATGATGTCCTGGTCGACACCGGACAGGAAGACCTTCTTGAGCATCCAGAAGAGCACGGGGCCAGAGAACAAGGCGCCCTCGGGACGGGTTCCGACGATGGGTTTGTGTTTGTAGTCGTTGTTGCGGGCAGGGGGGTGAGCCTCAGCGTCGGTGTTGTCCTGGACGACCTTCTTCTCACCGTCGGCGGAGCCGGACTCGACATCGTTGCTGTGAGTGTGAACGACACCACCGCGGGCGGCATCAAGCTCTTCCTTGGTCAAGTGGCCGGAGTAGAAGTCGCGGATACCACCGGAAGCACCCTCGGGCTGGACAGGAGGCTCAGGGCGGCGGAGCAGGAAGGGACCCTGGGGAATGTGCCACCAGCGAAGCTGCCAGTCGTCCTTGAGGACGATGCGGTACAGCCATGGGATGAGGAAGATGGTGACGACGAGAGCCCAAGCGGCGCCAACGCCGATGATCAAACCCGCTGTCTCGGCATCGGTGAAGTTAACCTTGATGGAGCCACCCTTCCAGACAATCAACATGGTGAGCAGCGAGGCGGTGATGCCGAAGTAGACGGGGGCGAGCATGAGACCCTTGACGACGGGGTTCTTGCGGAGCATGACGCCGTACTTGGTGATGGTGAAGATGATGGCACCAAAAGCACCGGCGAGACCAGGGGCGATGATCCAGGCGAGGAAGACGGAGACTACGCCAGAGTCGATGCTGCCGCTTTCTGAAACCCAGTGAATGTTCTCAGCGCCAATGAGGGCGACACCCATGCCGATGACACCACCCATGATGGAGTGGGTGGTGGAAACTGGGAGACCGATCTTGGTGCAGAAGGTGAGGTAGATGGCGGAGGCGGTAACGGCGCAGCACATGCCGAGCATGAGGAGGGCGGGGTCGTCTTCGAACATGTCAATGTCGACGATCTTGGTGCGGATGGTGTCGGCTACACGAGCACCGACACCGACGGAGCCGGCGAATTCAAGGACAGAACCGAGGGACATGGCTTGGATGTAGGAGATGGATCGGGATGAGACCGAGGTGGCCCAGGAGTTGGCGACATCGTTGGCACCTGTGAAGGAGTCAGGTTAGTTTGTTGATGAGATGTGATGGAGGTTGATGCTGACTTACCAATGTTCCACGCGTCAAGGAACGCGAAGATGGTGCCGATGGCGAAGATGTAATCGTACTGGTGCAGAGTCATCTTGTCTGCTGGCGCAAATGCGCAGGAGCCAGTCTTCTTTGAATGTGGTCGTAAAGAGTGTACTAGACTGATGCAAATTGCTGCAACACAGGTCCGAAGAAGAGACCAAAAACCCTTAGGGTGGCGCGGAAGGCAAGGCCGGGAGGGTTGATGCTGTTCGAGAAGTCGACATGGAAGCGGGAGGACAGGGCGCGCAGGTGCAGAAGATATATACCATCCGCCAGGTCGACCGCAGGCGAACCATGGTCCACCACAAGACAGCCCACCATCTTGACATGCAGCCTGGCAGTCATGGTCACGCAAGAAATCAACCCTTGTACTGCTCGGGCGTGGGAGAGAGCCTAGCTGCGGCGGAGGGTGCAGGCTTCAGACCAACATCGGCCAAAGTGGAACAAGGGCATGCCACACCCCATTCTGCAAACCGTAAATCCGCCGACATGGGCTCGCCACTTATGGACACCATCTGCAGGTGCGGCGGACCCGTCGAGGGACTTGGATCAGAATTTGACGACGGGTACCTCCCTGGAAGAACATGCTTGGCACAGGTGTTCTAGGTGTGCCTCCTGTATTCGGAATAGTTGATCAAATGTCAAAGACGTTCAATGGTTGAGAACATGTCTTCGATTTCGCTGAATTGAGTAATCCTAAGAAGTAGTCATGAGCGTCATTAGCACTGTTCGTGAACCTGGCGACTAGGCTTTTCCCACGATCTCGGAGCTTCTGGGAAAATCGTACTCTAACACTTAGCATAAGAATCAGGAAAACTTTCAGATACACGGCGATTTCAACTTAGGAAAACATTGTGCATGATGATGGAGCTCTTTCGGTGGCAGAAAACGGATACATGGGACGACGAGCTGAGGGCTGGGCTGTCTTGGAGGATGTATGGGTTGGGACGGAATGGGCAGCTGGTATCTGGGAAGATGAGCATACGACTGACGCCCACGCTCCACGTGCGAATGACAGGCCTGGAGACTTGACGAGCGTTGCAATGCGTCTGCCGGGATCCTCAGCTTTCACCACATCTTCGGAGCCATACTTGCTCGTTGGTTCGACGAAGGTGGCAGCAGGTGGGGAGCAAGATGAGCCCGGTCTTCGATGAGGGACCCTAGGGTAACCAATGGCTGTCCAGAGTTGCACGGACTTCTCTCATCTTCAAAGCGTCTAAACAGTAAAAGTGAAATTCTATCGGTAAGATATCGTGAGGACGTCAGCAGTAGCCGACAGGAAACAAGGGAGACGCGTTGCCCAAAACAGCCACCGAGGTGGGGCGTCCCAAGCGACTTGGCGCGCCAAGCGCCAAGACTCGGGCTCACAGGAAGCGCCGAGCGCGCACGGCAAGCCACGGCCCCACTCCCGTCCCCTGGCGGGACCCGCAGCTGCCGAATCACGGGCCCCGATTCCCCCACGTGTAGGCTCCCGTCCCTCCCTGTGGCCCCGTCCCGTCCAGATCCCCGGACCATCCATCCCACCCGTCTCGTCAACACCAATGTCCCTCCCGAGGCCTTGCGCGAGTCGCCCACTCACAGCCAACTCAAAAGGCACGCATGCTTGGAATTTCTATAAAACACGCTCCCCCGCCAAGCGGCCAAGACCTCGAGTGCCTCCAACGAACGCTCCGCTCGTCATCTCTATCGAATGTCATTTCCTCCCACCTCGCCCACCTGCTCAGCTTTCCCCCACAGACTGCCTGACAGTATCCCCCCATTCGTCTTTCCGCCGATAGAGGACCCGGGTCCTCCTACAATACTTCCTAATACAGCTAGAGGCCCGATTCCCGACCTTGATCAACCTGTCCTCCTCCAGTGGACTCCTCCTCCGCCGTATTTTATTCACAGTTACGAGACTGTCCATTCAGTAGCAGACGGCCCGATAAACTGTCGATTCCTCGGGTAGTAGCTTGCCCATACCATTCAGGACGATACACGCCACTACACGATTGGCCCACAACCGTCTACATTCCCCGTCGTGTCACCATAGGCACACAACGCCCAGCCCACATACGTACCATACGTACCGCCACCCTGGTGTTGACTACCGCGCCGCACACGCACCCACCGTACCCGATCAAAAGTCCAAGACGTCCAAGAAACCCAAGCAATTACCAAGCCGATTCGATCCTTCACACCTAGCGAATCAGCATCCGGTATCCAAGCCCGTGGTCTTCTGAAGGTTGCCCAGACCTGCCAGCAGCCTGGCTGTGCTTTTCTTGGGCTTTGCACTTCAATTGCCCAGACGAACCTAGAAAAGTCTTCAAGCCTTGGACGTTTTGACTCTGGTGAGCGAACGACGGGGTGACTGTGGGCTCACTCAGGGCAGATGGAGAGAATTGGTTCTGTTGCGTCCCTGACAATTGGGGTGAATTTTGCCGTCATGAGGTAACTTGAGGCTTACAGCTTTTTGGTATGCCTGCTCATTCAGCGTTATCGACGATTCTTCGCCAATCGGCCGACATGACCGGTCGGCCTCTCCGTCACTGACAGCCAGCGTGTGACAACGAGGCGGCATCTCTGATCACTGTTGGTGCTCGTCAGTCAATTTGCCAAACGTATCCCAGTGACTTACTCCGTCAACGGAGCTGGCGATTCTGTATGTGATTATTGGGGCTCTATCATTATTTTGATACATTTTGTCCTATGACCAGGCCTTCCTCCTGTAACCGTCGACGAAAAGGTGCCCCAGCACTTCCTCCTTCCCATTCATACAGAGTCAAGGTTCTATGGCTTACCATGAGTGGAATGCACCCTTTACAGGAACATGTTCTCGCTAGTTATGAACATCCCACAGCGCTTAGTCTCCCTATCACGGTTGATTCGACGGCCCAGTGATCGATATTAACATCAGCCACTGTAACCGTCCCTGTTCGTAAATAAACGAGGCCTATTCTCTCTTTATTGCGTGGTTCCGTGATCCATGTGTCGTACTTCGGCACGAAAACCTGCCTTTAACATAGTGAAGGTAGTAAAACCATTTCAGCATACTGAAGTCACAATGCTCATGGATTTGACCTCGCTTCCTACAGCTCAGCGCCAAAGCCTAATGTATATGTATGAAATCCAACAGAACTCCGGGGTTGCTTCAGCCATGATGATTGGTTTGCGTAGTAGAACGATGCATATGAGAAAAGCCTCTCTAGTGCCATTCCGTCTCTAGTCGATTAACACTCCATCCCAGCAAGCGAAAGGGGCACTGGCATTGTACCCCTGGCACGGCATGCATACAACCTACCGGCGAGGCCGACTGGGATAGTCGTCCTATTTGCCTCCTGTCACGCCTTCTAGAACGTTTCTGCGTCTGCGTGCATACCTGCAAGGAGGGGTATCGGCCTCTCGTGCACCCCACCCGTCCCAAAGCATTTGTATGGAACGTGGCGACGCCATTGAACATGAGTTTTGCTAGTCGGGCAGTGTCATTTTCTTATCAGGGCAGTGTCCCCTATAATCTGGAAATATAGAGAGAATAATAGCAGTCATAATAAGGATAACGACGTTATCGACTACGATAACGACGACGACGACGACGGCTGGAATAGGAAATGTAGTCGCTTTAGAAACAGGCCACGGATTACACACGTGTGTGTGTGGACACTGCCCGGATAGCCAAATAACACTGCCCGACTAGCAAAGCTCTTGGATATTTCCCCTCAGAATACGACCTCTCTTCGACAGCGGATGTGTTTAAGCCTTTCAAACGATGTCGCTAGCCATTGCCGTCAATAATACAATCAGCATTATCAAAGTAAATTGGCCAAGTTCTCTCTCAACTTCGCATCCCCTTCATCATAACCATCTTCTACCAAATCCGCAAAGTTGGACCCATACCGGTTTGCCTCATCCAACAGCGCCACAGTAGACAGCGCCGCGTAAGCCTTTGACTTCAACCTATCCTGGACCCCATGGTCCGTGTCCTCTTGCCACATCCGGTGAGCCTTCTCAAAGAGGCCATCGAAGTCTACATCAACGACTTTCCATCCTTCGAGGCCCAAGTCCTTGATGATTCCAATAATCTGGTTCGTCGAGACAGTATGACTGGCGAAATACGCCGGGCGATTTCGGTATCTTCCAGGGTCATTGAGCACAGCGACCAGAGCCTCGCCATTGAGGGCATGGCGACTCATGCTGTATTCCTGGTCCCCGGAACCGTACCTCGTAACCATCTTTCTCTCCCGATCAACCCAAAATATCCCCTTCTTGATCGTCCAGTCATACCATGGGCCGGTAACAATCGCAGTCCATGACAATCTGCCCTGTGACTCGGCAACCACCCTCTCAAGCTCTCGCTGTGCTTCCAGCTTGGGGTTGAAAATAAGAACGTCCTTGGCGTTGGGGTGGAAAGTGTTCCCGCTGAAGTCTGGCGTGATGATGTGTCTCACTCCGGCGGCGAGGACAGCCTGGAGGATGGCTGTTTGATGGATGGATGCTGCAGGGTTGAACGCTTCTACGACTGCATCTTGGCCTCGCAAAGCTTCAATGAGCAATGCAGTGTCGGTGTAATCTGCTTTCACAACTCGCACTCCGTCCGGCGGCTGGGACTTGCTATCCTTGCGTAGAACGCAAGTAACGTCGAAATCTGCAGCAACAAGTGAGGGAACCAGTACCTCTCCGAGGGAGCCCGTGGCCTAGAGATTAGGAGTTTGTTGTTATGTGTTTGGCTACTATGGAGACGTCTGAAGGGACTTACACCTAGAATCGCGACCTTTTTGATATTCGCCATGTCTAAGTCACACTTGAATAGCCGCAGTTAATGACAGAATATTGGCAGAGACCCAATGTCTATTTTCCCACTTCGCCTCTGTTTACAGGTACTCACCATGACTATTTATTTCAAAGTGACTTCATGAGAAACATGCATTTTTGATTACAATGTCGACTTAATCCCCACCAATATCGCCATCACTGTGCTTGGGATATCTGTCAACGTTTTCAAGGGGTCATAACGTTATATATCCAAATGGCAAATGCCACGGAATGCCGCGGTGATATTACTTAACATCTACTTTGGGCTAGTTCGTGGCGCACAAAAGATCCAATCCAAACGGCGGAACACCCACACCGACGCCGCTCCGCACGCGGGCAGTTTATTAAGCCGTGTGGCGTAACCGTGCTTACCAATATCCCTTGGCCCTCATACATAACGTATTATTCTCAACGTAACCCGTTTGGGTGGCTCGGACTCGCGCTTCGCGATATGTCTTCTTTTCGCCGACCCGGGTTAGAGATCGTCAATACTTTCAGGGGGCGGCTTTAGTTTCACATTTCAAAGGATTTCGGCGCCGAAAGTATGCTTAGAAATTTCAATCGTCTACCGGAAATCTTCACATACGATTTAAGAGGCAGAGTTCCAAGCGGCAATTATGAGCTATGAATCAATAACGTTATCCACCAAACAGCCCCATCCACATCTGCAAACAGACCTGCATTGTTTGTATGCTCCCAGATCATAACAGTTACTTCCCAACATGTCTTCTATGAAAGCTCTCATCACCCAAGGTGACGGTGTTGTCTCCGTTGAATCCACCACTATCCCGGCACCCGGCCCCGGAGAAGTCCTCGTCAAAGTGCACTACTCCGCTCTCAACCCCACCGACTGGAAGTCTGTCAGAGGATCTCCGCCCATCGCCCCACCCGCCCCGGCCGGTCTCATCGTCGGTGCCGACTTCGCCGGAACGATTGAAGATCCCAACGGCTCTGCTTGGAGCAAGGGCCAGCGTGTTGCAGGCTTTGTCCAAGGCACCAGCCAAAACGGAACCCCTGCAAACCCGATCCGCGGCGGGTACGCAGAGTACATCCCCATTGAAGCCAGTTTGTTGTTTGAAGTTCCCGAAAATGTGGAGCTGAAGAGCGCTGCGACCGTCGGTCTTGCGCTGGGGACAGCACTACAAGCTCTGTATCAACGTCTTGGCCTCCCTGAGCCGGGATCAGGGAAAGGCTCTGAGGAGTGGGTGCTCATTTACGGTGGTGCGACTAGTGTCGGAAACTATGCCATTCAGTTGGCAAAGTTGAGCGGCTTGAAAGTTATCACCACTGCGTCGCCAAAGAATCATCCGTTCTTGAAGGAGCTGGGAGCGGATGTCGTGATTGATTATCACGGAGATTGGGTTGAAGAAGTCAGGAGAGTCACAGACGGGAAGCTGAAGCGCGCCTTCGACACTGTGTCAGAGCACGGCTCAACATTGAAGATCGCGCAGGCACTCGAGAGGAGTGAAGGAGATCACGTTCTTACTCTCATTCCTGTCATGCCGCCCGCAAAGGAAGAGATCAAAGCTGTGAATCTGTGGGCGAAGATTGAGTGGACAATTGTTTACACGGTGTTTGAGAGGGCTCTCCCGTTCCGGTTTGATAACTGCGGAGACGAGACACCTGAGGACAAAAAGGTGTGGGAGAAGTATTTGAAGCTTTTGCCTCAGCTTCTGAGCAACGGGGACCTAAAGACGAGTAAGGTGAGGGAGATTGGCGGCTTGGAAACTGTCGTTGAGGGCTTCAGGCTATCTGAAGAGGGTAAGGTCTCTAATGAGAAGCTGGTATTCAAGGTATTGTAGATGAGCGTCGAATACGAGTCTCTCGCATTCGGCGAAGCTACTGTTTGAAAACATTCCAAGGAATGGCTCTTGGTAGAAATAGAAAGCTACTAGAGAACCTTGCTTCGCATAATCTCAATGGCTAGTGTGTCAAGCTGTTTGCCTACACGGATCATGTATGCTCCACTTGGACCTTCTCTTTCTCCGAAGAGCCAGACACAGTCTTCTCAGCATCCGCACCGGAGATATCCTGTCCACTCTTCATAGCCTTCTGCATCTCTTTAGCGACCTTGACTGGGTTGCGACCCTGAGTGAAGAACTCATCAATCTCCTCTAGGCGGAAATTGCTAGTTTCGGGATAGAAGAAGTAGATGAGCGGGATGAATGCGAAGTTGGTCACGACGAAGATTAGGTACGCCTTCCACTGCAAACGGTTGATGATGACCGGTGTAATCATGACGACGAAGAAGTTCCAGAGCCAGTTGGAGCTGATGCCGACAGCGGTACCGCGGGTTCTGGCGTGGAGCGGAAGAATCTCGGGGACAACCACCCATGGGACGCAGTTCATGCCCATGCCGAAGATGAGGTTATATCTAAAACCTGTTAGCAACATGTAGACTAACGGATAACCATACTCGTGGACTTACAGGAAGAAGAATGCGACCGAAGCTGAAGCACATGCGTGCCCGTTGGAAAACCCCACTCGAGAGAGGAGAATCGAGATCATGAGCATGCAGACGCCCAACCCAGCGCTGCTCCAGATCATCATTTTTCTGCGACCCATTCGGTCCAGGGTAAGAGCAGGCAAAATCGATCCGAACATGAACATCATTTGAACGCATCCGCCAATGATCTGGGCCATATGTGCCGTCATTCCCACATTTTGTACTAGAACGCTGGGAATGTAGTACACCACGAGGTTGATTCCGCCAAGCTGATTCATGAACTGCGCTCCCCAGGCAAGAAGGACACGTTGTCCAGTCTTAACGCGATCGTTCTTGAAGATGCTCATGAAGGACGACTGAGTCTTCTCAGACGCTTCCAACTCAATGGCGTGGTGGATGGAATACACCTCCGCGCGGATGTAGTCATCTGTGGGATCTTTGTCAAAGACGTCGCAAAGAACTTGGACGGCCTCTTGCTCGCGGCCATGCTTGAATAGCCAGCGGGGTGATTCGGGGAGAGCAAAAACCAAAACGATGACGACGAGAGCGAAGATGATCTGGAAGGCGAGCGGGAGGCGCCATGCGATAGGCCCACCGACGAAGGACATTCCAAAATCGAACCTGGTTCTTGTCAGCATTCCTGACCGAAGCCAGTGGGGCAAAGGTCCAGTACCAGTAAGCAAAAACAATGCCTACACCCACAAAGAGTGTCTCGGCGGAAACAAGACGGCCTCGGTACTTGCGGTCGCAGAGTTCAGATTGGTACCTGTTTGGAGTTAAGATAATGAGCTTGAAGGCCTGGTAAGGACTCTTACATCGGAACTGTGGAGGTTTTCATGCCCGTGCCTAGACCCGTCACAAGTCTTCCAATGACAAGGTGTGGAACCGTGAACGCTGATGCTTGCAGCGTAGCGCCAATGATAACCAGCGCCATGGCGGTCCAAATTGTCTTGCGACGTCCCAGTGTCTCTCCAAATATGAAGTTCACTTTTGCTCAATGGGTCAGCGTAGGCCTTCAACCTCAAGTATTCGGTAGAACGCACAAACACAGCCAGCCAAGCAGCCTAGGTTGTAGCAGGATACGATGATGCCAGTTTCTGAATCAGATGGGTGATTGAACTGGTCAAGCCAGTCTTCCATCTGGAGGATTCCTCCGAACACTCCTTGATCGTAGCCAAAAAGTACGAAGGCGATGAGCTACATAGAAATAAGTCAGAATGATGCGCTATTTTGGTGAGACCATTGCTCTGCCGTTGAGATGACTTACGCAGCAAATCGTTACGCCCATCTGCAGGCCTTTGCCCCTGCCAAGACTGAAAAGAGCCATGATGATCAATGCTGTCGTGCCACTAGATTCTTAATTGTTGACTGTTGAATTACTATTCCTCTCGTGCTGTGAAGCAATTTCATCTGCAATGTCGCTGCGTGCGTTGTCTCGACCTGCTCTCAATGGCCTGGCGTATGAATTTCCCCAGACTCGTGATGCAGCCAACAGGAGTACAGTCCGGGGTTAAACTGGGCCTTGAGAAGTTTGATTCGGGGATGGGTGCGGGGAAGATTTAATTTCCAGAAACGGGAATATTAAGCTTGTTCGTAGAACCCGGAGAATACCCACTGGGCGGCCGTTGAAGGTTCACGATTCAGCTGATAGAAAGCACACAAAACCAAGCCTATGCGCTTGCAGTTGTGCCAACCTAAATCCCACCGCCCTTTTATACTCTCGACCCGGAACCGAGGCCATCGGCGGCGGGCGGACGAGAGGGAGGCGGTCTGCTTCCCCACGGCCGCAGAACGTGGTACCGCACCAAGATGCGGTCCCCAAACAAGTGATCTGCACGGCATCTCCTCCACGCGATGTGGAGTATCTGATGGCTAGAAGCGCTTGGAACGTCCTGTTTTGGCGCGTCACAGCGTCGAATGCTTCGCTGGAGCAAACATGTGCCGGGGGAGCAACCATGCATGCGGTCATTCGTACAGCTCTTGGGCACGATGACGTCCTCGCATTGGATGGGGTTGATTTGCAAAAGCAAGCATAACTCGTGGCCGCCCCACTACCCAGGCCGCTTCGTGAACGGGGTTTGCGCCGATGTTCGTGGCCATTGGGTTGGTGTTGGAATTTGCTGGCTATGCGCGCCAATCAGGAGGATGTTCGTCCCATCAGCCACCGTGATATTTCTCTTCCGTCGAGTCAAGCCTAAAGTTCCCGGTTGGTCTCGCGCGAATGGTCCACTGCGAAATCGTAGAACAACTTCATGTTTCAGCATTCGTGCAGCCGTGCCAATCCAGGAAAAGAGTGGATTTGATGGGCTTGTGGTCTCGTGGGCTGGGCAAAGAACCCGAGACTACGGGACCACTGAGACTCAGCATGGCATCCGACTCCAATCAGAAAGTTATCCGATCGAATCATAAGAAAAGCCCATATGATTTGATGCCTGCGCATGTGCTGGGGCGCATAGCACAGCGGGCAAGACCAGAACGACAAGCCTGGATATGCACATCCGCTGCTGACAGCTGCGTGATTTGAGATTTCCGAAGCTTACTTTTCGTTGATGTTGCACTATTCTCGGCCAGAATGTGAGATGCCGAAGCTTGTAAACACTCAAAGGGATACGACACCTCATCGGATATTCGCCGATTTGCCGGCTCCGGTTTCGGGCTGTCCATTGACGAGCCCCCACTTCACGGTCCGTTCCGGTGTTCGTCTCGGCGCCGAGCCACCCGCGCTGTGAATGCAGAGAAAGGATAATGTGAAAATACTCCTGATGGGTGGGAGGCTCAGGAAACTTACACAGACAACTTATTATCACTTTGCCCATGTCTTTCATGGGAGTATAGGCTGACGTGGAGGGTAGGTCGAGTCGATGTGCAATGAGACCGTGAAAATGACGCGCGAGAAATTGCAATTTGAGCTGTCTTTTGTCATTGATAAGCAAACTTGGCTCACATTAAGAGTTTAGCTAGTTGGGCAGTATAATCACAAATACCTAACACTTTAATGAGTGCGACGATAGTAGGGAAAACGATAGGGATAGCGAAAATAATAACAACGATGATAGACGACGAGTGTGACGAGGGCGGTGGCAGCGACGATGGCAGCGACAAAATACGTATGAGAAATATAGTTGCTTTAGCATAGACGTAGGATATACGGATTACATACTGCTTGTGAAGTGGACACTGCCCAGCTAGCAAAACTCCGCATCAAAAGCTGACGCCAATGGGTGCCGGCACGAAACACGCGCACTTACAAGAGCTCCGTACATGGATTCTACTCCTAACTTGCGACCCCATCAACCCATCGAGTTCCCCGCGATGAACTAGTGTTATGATTCTCGCCGCACTGTCCGCTCTTTTGAGCCAAGAACTCATCCACTTTAGAGCCAAGCAGCTGGGAAACAGTGTATGTGATGTGCCCCGAGTTGTACCAGAAGTATTCACCAATTGGCTGACAGCCGTACGAAGCGTAGTTAGTCGCAATATCCCACGCATTGTACTTGGGACAGAACGATGTGGTGTTGGTGATACCGAAAGTGGCCGCATTATCGAACACATAGGTGAGCCAGGTGTATGTGTCGAACACCAACGCAGTTGCTCCGGGGTGTGTTTCTGTGAAGGCTTTGGCTGTTTGGTTGAGAACATCGTTAAAAGTTTTAATCATCGTCGTGTTTGGCTTCCGAGTAGGATCGCTTTGTGCAGCAGGCTGTCCATAGTTAGAAGGGGGCTTGGAAGATCTGACGAAAGGCCATACCGTCTTTTCCAGAGGAGGTAAGTTGAGGAAGAGGTAGCTGCGATATCCAGCTTCATAAACGGTTTCAAGGGCTTCAAACTGCTCTGCGATGACCGCAGTGTATAGCTCTTTGAAGTTTGTTGAATTTTGAACAGGAAACTGAAAGTTGGCCATGTCGTTGATGTCATTGATTCCAATGAATGAAGCTACGAGGGAGCTTTTGGTGTTTGCGTTGATGACCGATTTGCCATACTCGTCCCATTGGGATACTTGATTTTGGAACGATATTGTGTAGTCATGGTGGAGTGGAACACTTGGTGGAAATTAGCCGTCTAAGAAGATTATCTGAATCACCAGATGCTCAGCTCACAAAGTAGTGGACACATCGGCGCCAGCGAATGCAAAGTTCCATAACTGAATCTCGCAGTCTCGTGGCAAGCCTTCCTTGCAACCAGTAAGTTCTTCGATCCAATTGGGACCACCAGCTGATGAGGTGTTTTGCCCTGGAACAATGCGGTCCGTCAAGAGCTGTTCGGGAGTGAACGATATGTTGAGCTGAGAGCCGATGAAACTGTATCCCCAGTACCCTTCTGTTCCTTGCACAAATGTGTAAGAATCTCCGAATGCAAGCCTAGGTGTGTGTCTTGTCAGTGCGGGCTCAAGTGGTGCGACCGCGACTTACACGTAGTCAGTTTTTTGCCAGTCAAAAGAGGCCTCTACCGCTAGAGGAGATGCAAACACTGTTGTGGAGGCAAGCCCAATCAGGACTGCCAAAGAGACGGACATCACGAGGACATCAACACAGCACAGGAGATCACGGTTAGTGAGGAAACATCTTGGTGCCCCTTGTGAGGTACTCTCTGGTAATTATAGGATTTTTCTTTCGCAATTTTCTTTCACAATCCTAGTATTCGCCCGCCGCTTCCCTGCCCCCGGAGAATCAAAGTCTGTGGGGTGAGATCAACTGCGAGATGCAGAACCGGATGAGCGGGTTCGAATTCATGAACTAGCACGTGGCGCACGCGGAAATATTTGCGTCCACCACTCAGCGCTGTGTCGGGCCTGGCCGTTGAGGGGAAACCCCGGTAGGCAACGACCAGGGACGCTAAAATTATGTCGCAAAAGCTATCGTGTCAAAAGCCCAGTTGACTTCATGAAAGCCTCACACATTACTTTTGCTGTTGGGTTCACATTTGAATAGTGATGGACCTGCCTTTAGGAAAGAACTGAGTCAGACCATCAGCCGAGGGCCAATGACTTTCTTGTCATTCATTCGTAATAGTTCGCCGCTGATGTATGAATACTCGAATTGTAAATTGATTTCATAAGGAGACTTAAATCAAACTGCATAAGTATATATCTATGGACGATCTGATGTATCGATATCGTGAGCTGGTCTGTGAGACGAGAAACGGATGAACTGCCGCCGCCGGACTCTCTCGGTGCCGAGACGGATCTAGACCAACATATTGTGCGGACCCGATCAGGATGCATAACTTTGTGCACGGGCGCCGATAAGGGTGGCATTTCTCACCGCCTAAAAGTTCGCGGCAGAAAAAGTCCCAAGCGCATCGCATCGCTGCATCAATCTTCCCGCCCATCCAACCATCATCCGACCAAACAACAAAACGGGGTGTCGCCAAAAAGACGAGAAAGTTCGGCCAGGTAGGAGCTCTCCAAGCGGTTCGAGATGGATTTTGTCTGACGTTCTTCAGGCCAAGCGCCTAATCGGCCGCCGCCACGCTCTTGCTGCCAAACCGACCGAAGCGGAATCGAAGTCGACGACCAAGAAGAACGATGCCGATCTCGTGCGACACATTCCCCAGGCCCCGTCAGGACTCTACTTTCAATCGAACCAAGACCTGGGACCCCCATACCACATCATTCTCGACACCAACTTCTTCGCGCACACGGTCCGCCACAAGATCGACGTCGTCATGGGCCTGATGGACCTCCTCCTCGCCAAGTGCACACCCGTCGTAACGGAATGCACGATCGCCGAGCTTAACAAGCTGGGACCGAAGTTCCGCCTGGCCCTGCGGCTTGCGAAGGACGAGCGATTCGAGCGATTGAAGTGCTCGCACTCTGGCACGTACGCCGACGACTGCATCGTCACCACCGTCACGAAGAACCGCTGCTACCTGGTTGGAACGAACGATAGGGCTCTGAGACAGAAGCGGAGGAAGGTCCCGGGTGTGCCTTTAATTGCGGTCGGAAAGGGAAAATACTCTGTTGAGAGGCTGCCCGAGATCGCTGTTTGAGGCTGGAGGACACTGCAGAGAAATATCGACGTTATTGCCACGAAAATACATCGGAACATGGATTTGTGACAGGGCCACAACTGTTACGCAGAGCACGGATGGTGGCCATTGTTCTGCGGAAACTTGTCAAGTCACCACGGTCTACCCGGGGAGCGATTATCAAGCCCATGACTGGACTCGTCAGAATTAGAGAGGATTGCTAGTCCCGGCAGCCGGAACTCCCACGACTACTGGAGAGGTCATAAAACGTCCACACTGGTTAGTGAACAGCAAGCCAAGAGGCTGATACGACCGGCGATAGGAACCGGGGTTGAAGTTCGCATGGACATGAATAAAGAAGCAATCCATTGCTAATTGTGTCAGGCCCGTGATCTTACGCGATAGGACCTGAGACGCTGGCATGAAAGATCCTGATAGACCTCCAGCAATAGTTCACTTCATTCAACGACCTTGCCTGATGGTAGTCTCTCTCGTCACCATGATTTGGTTCCTAAAGTCTCCCCGGAGTTCCTGGCCCACGTGCCCTGTCTTCGGCTCCGCTGTCACATGAGAGTAGACCGCAGGCACAGCCCCCGACTGGCTGGCTATCATATCCTTGAGCACAAGCTCCTCGGTGCTAACCTCCCTTTGAGTGTTGTTGCTCTTTAGCTGCTTGAAGTTGCTGCGGCCAATCCCTGATGAGCTCCCGTATCGCGGGTAGGCGCTAGTTCCGCTCTTGTGAGCGGACGACAGGCCTGCTCCTGGAAGCCACTTCGCGAGCAAGGGCCGGAGAGTCGGCAGGGAGGCGGCAATGATGGAGGTGTTGAGCTCGATGGCGGACCAGATCGCGGCGCCGATATTCTCCCACGGAGGGTCCTCGCTGTAGACGGCGGTGCGGAGGGTGAACATTCTGTAGACGGAGATGATGCACACACTACCCACCAACGTTAGTTGCACGTCACTTAGAAATTCTCTAGCAGGCATCGGGGGAGATCGACACTTACAAAAAGCCGAGAGAGAAGACTCCAAACAACATGGCCTTCTGCTTCGTAGGAAGTCGCAGCTTGAGAACGGATGGTAGAGGAATGCAGAAGATCATAATGTCCGTGGCCATGCTCATGCCTGAGGAGAAATACCAAATTGGGAGCGTGTTGAGACAGAAGCTGGCGGTGCTGGGAACGATGATGGAGATTGGCAGGCACGATGTGCCGAGTAGAGTAGCCTGAGCGCATGCCCACAGGACAACAAACACCATTGCCCAGAGGCAGATTCTCTGAACTCCCTTGGAAGGAAAGACGCGTCGGTATTGGAACAGAAAAGAAACCTTCACGACGTTCATCCCCATGTTGTAATGGAGGACAGCAACAAGAAGGAACTGGTGGGCTGTAAGCAACTGGGTGTCGTTTGGGATGCCACGCATGACAGGTTGTCTTACCTTGAGTTGTTGAAGCGTCTCCTCCAGTGACACATTCTCGACATGCCTTCCCATGCCATACTTGACCTCTTTATCGATCGGTCAGGGTTGTCGCGTGGAGATTTGGAGTGAGAAACCTACCGAGACAAGTCGCGGCCGTAACAACGATTGCGAACAACTATTGAAGATGTCAGGTTGGGTAATAGACGGGACTCTGCTTTGGGTCTATTCTCACCTCTGCAATAACGATGCTTAAGTCATCTTTTCCCGCCGTTCTCAGAAGAACAAGTCGTGTGTAGAGTCTGAGCGAGAGAATCGACGCTGAAGCAGCAACGAAACCGATCGCAATACCGCTTACAATGTGTCCATTGGATTCAGTGCGAATCACAGAGGGCTCGGTGGCCATGGCTGCTGATGTTGACCGCCAGGCGGAGACTTGAAAGCGATAAAGGGGAAGATCAAAAGATCCACAGATCCAGTCTTAATCTTCAAGGACCCAGGTCAGCGCCAACGTCTTAGCCTTATACTGAAGATCTCGACGATCAGAACGGCGAACTCTTTACATAACCTTGGAGGTCATCTCACAACCATGAATCACTTCCTGCGTCTCCTGCAGAGGGGCAATGTTCTATCTGTTTGGGCAACACTCGGAGGAGACTTCTACTCTGATCCAGAGAATGGCGAAGTGTCTCTGCATGCAGGGGTGATGTAGCCGAGACGGCAGGAACGGAAGCACCTGCATCTCTGTGGCGAGGGTTCGTCTCATTTGAGTCTGGTCTAGTGTGACTGCCCGTTCCTAGCTGCAGTCACAATACAATGGAAAACAAGATTTCTGCTCAGGAGCCTCAACCCTGCTGTGCCTCTCATGTCCCGAGCTTCCCGAATCTTCAACAGTTCTTCAGGGAAAGTGGCTTGGTTTAATTAGACATACGATTGTGTCCTGCATTGCCGCAGGTCTCATGTCCGACATCGAGCCTGAGTTCCACGTCTGCTCTTCATGCGGCCTTCGATCGGGCCCCTTTTCGAATGTTCTTCTACGTCAAAGAAACGAATTCCTATTTCATGTGGCGATGCCATCAAGCCCCCCTATCCTTCTGATTCTTTCACACATACGAGACAGACTTATCATTCAAAGCTCGGCCGATTCAATTTCTTTTTCGGCCGTTCCGTCCATCCATCCATGGTTGCATTTACGTTATTTCAATCAATACGACAGCGCACGGACTATGTTCATGATTCCAGTCAACGTCTATACGGTACGTTTGCTCGGGCCCCTTTCTGCGTAGAGCTTCGCTGGGTTGAAGTATGGGATAGTCTAGGTGCGACCTGGTGGGTTCCAACGAGGGACGAACCTTGCCTAACTCCCCTTTGCCGTGGAAGACCATTGGATCCCGGCGATAGATGCATGGTTCCTGCCACTGCTAGATTGTGTACTTGCCTGTCTTTGATGGCTGAGGAAAGAAGAATCTGATCATAGAAGCAACCCAGGCGCACTTGGATCCTGGCTAAACCGGCAACCTGCTTCAACGGACCCTGTTCCGCGAGACGTGCCTCACACATGCAGTAGCGTGTTGTCGGTAGAAGTCAGGATTTAGCCTAGCAGTGTCTGCTGCGACTGAGACCGGGCCAAGTGTCTTGAAGTGGACGAAAGAGGGAACAACCCTGGCGGGATTACATACTCGCTGTCGCTAATGATACTGCGCTGCAGATAAACTTGTTGGAACGAAATTCTCCAAATCCTGGGTCATCTTTCGATTCGATGAAGAAATGCATTTTATGGAGTCTGCTGGGGTCGAGCGGGGGAATTGGGCCCGGGGTAAAATGCAGAGTAAGGGTCTTGGGCCAATGGAAGATCAGGGAGGAGTGAATACGCGTTCCAACAACTTCCCACGGTGCAACGCCACAGCTCGATCATACCAGAGATCTTATGGTGTGTTTCCTTTGGAATAGGAGGAAGATAGGGTAGTCTCATAGCGCATAATCCTTCGCAAGCCACCTACTTTTTCAACGCGCACAACTCCGATCACCAGAGCATTCGTTGCGACACTGACGGAGAGTCTTTGTGGGGTCTGTTATCCCCAGACCCTTCTTTTTGGCCCCATACAGACAGGGCTTAGTCTTATTCTTAATCCAACTGTCTCCTCTCACCGGGACCCGCCTCCGAAGGCCACCGTTGGCGCTAACCCCAGAGATGCCCTCCGCCGCCCCTCTTTAAAACCTGCTGACAGGGATCACCCTGAAATACGAAGCATCGCCCTCTAGCCGAAGGAGACGTTTGACGTGGTGGGGTTGCCCTCGATGTTCGTGAGCGTTACCATGTCCGCACTGACCTGGAGATCGGGGACGTGTTCGTCTGTTGGTGTCGGTCCCGCCTCTGCTCCGCCTCGGGCAACGTTGACGGGCCTACTGGAAGTTATTGGAGAATGGAAGGCGGGTAGATCCATGGGTCTGACACTCGACAGCCGCATTTTGCGCACTGATGCATGTAGTTCCCTTCCACACGCACCATCTCTTTCAACCCCCATATTTTGAGAAGTCTTGCTGGACATTCTATCCGGAAGAATCTTGCCGGTCGGTGTCACATCTTTGATGGATGTGTCGGCACATGCAGTCAGCCATAGCAATACCGGATGGAGCGTGCGCCCGCTTTGAGTTGAATGTTTGAATTGATAGAGACTTCCTTACCTAAGTAACCAGAGTGGTGATTGATGAAATTATACTCCCAGTCTCGATGAAGTCAGGCCATTAAGACTCGCGGTCCCCGTACATGTCCGCAGTCTTTGTGGCATGACAGCGCAGGAAGATATCTCCGATGTAATGTCGCTTAGCCTTGTCTATTCGTAGGCCTCAACGCCAAGTCCTGTCTCTGTCTGCCAGGGGAGGACTAGCGCCGCTCATAAACCAGGTGCTTTTGCTTGCAGCATGTGTCAGCTATTGGGTCTGGAGTAATAACCAAGGTCGCGTTCCTGACAGTATGTTTTCCTCCAAAGCCTCCGCATGGAACTGCGGTCGAAGTCGTACCTAGTGAGCAATGAGCTTACAATACCCATACTATTGACATCTGCTAGGTAGTCTCTGCCCAATGGGGACGTCCGGATGGTTCCCGGGGTAAGCGTCTTGAAAGCCCCCAATCCGACATAGGAGCGCATGAATAAAGCATTCGTAATGAGAAAAACGACTTAGACTGCACAATCTCCTCCCGTAAATGGTTTAGTCGACCGAGATACCCAGCCCGATGGCTCTTCACCACGTGAAGTATGGGCCATCATCGGCATGTACAAAAACAAGCTGCCCTCCCATCCAATAAGCAGACCATCCAGACCGCCCAGCCTTAATCCTGCGCCAACCTCCATTATCAACGGCCGTCACTCTTTTTACTTTGCCCAAGATGATGTTCTCCAAGGCTTGGCCAGCAGCTGTCCTGCTGTTTGGTGTCACTTCGGCCCAGGACAAGACTTACGACTATGTACGTCCATCTACCGACCTCTCTTGCCTCGATGATGTAGCTGACACTCCATGCAGGTCATTGTAGGAGGAGGTACCGCTGGATCAGCTCTAGCAACACGCTTGAGTCTAGGCCTGCCGGATGCCCAGATCTTGCTTCTTGAAGCCGGCCCATCTGCCCTCGATGAGCTCCGCATCAACGTCCCTGGTCTACGAGGCTCCATTCTGGGAACGAACTTTGACTGGAACTTCACTACGGTTGATCAGAGCGGTCTCGGTGGTCGCCAGATCCTCGTGAACCGCGGCAAAGTCTTGGGTGGCTCATCAGCCATGAACTACCTCTGCTATGACCGTGCTTCGTCCCCGGAGTACGAATCATGGGCTGAGATGGGCAGCGAAGGATGGACTTGGGACGTCATGATTGATGCCATGACCAAGTCGGAGAACTTCACCGGTTCAGACAAGGATACTCGCGGTCGCGCCGGTCCCATCCGTAACACGTACAACCGCGTCATATATGATGTACTCAACACATGGCAGCCGGCCGGCAGCGAGCTTGGTCTTCCTATCAACGAGGAGGGCAACATGCACGGCAATCCCATCGGCATCATGTTCCAGGGCACCAACATCAACAACGTCGACTACAGCCGCTCTTACAGTGCGAACAGCTACTTGCCTCTCGCCGGCTCTAACCTCGTTGTTCAGACGAGTGCTCAGGTTGTCAAGGTTAATCTCGAGAAGGCCTGTGAAACTGAGTATGTCGCCACCGGCGTTACGCTCGCTGATGGGAGTGTTATTAATGCTACCAAGGAAATCATTCTCTCCGCCGGTTCTGTGCAGAGCCCTGGTCTCCTCGAGCTTTCTGGTATCGGACAAACTGCCGTTCTTGAGGCTGCTGGAGTAACACCTTTGGTTGACCTTCCTGGAGTTGGCGAGAACTACCAAGACCACATCCGCACCTCCAACGTGTACCGTCTCAAGGATGGCATCGACTCATTCGACAACCTCATTTTTGACGCCAACGGAGAGAATGCCACCGCTGAGCTCCAAAAATGGATCGATGGAGAGGTCTCTCTCTACGACTACACCTCGGCTGCCTACGGCTTCTTGAACTGGGGCCAAGTCGACAGCCAAGCTCAGGCCGACATCACAGCTCTTGCCGAGAGTGCCGTCGGCGCTAGCACTAACCCCATCGACAAGAAGAAGCTCGAGTTCCTCAAGAACGACGCTGTTCCGGACTACGAGCTCATCTTCGAGGCCAACCACGTCGGTGCCGCTGGGTACCCTGGCTCTGGCAAGTTCATCACGGTTTTCAGCACTGTTATGCATGCTCTCAGCCGCGGAAATGTGCACATCGACCCGGCCAACCCGACAGGCAAGCCGATCATCGACCCCAAATACCTCAGCAACGAACACGACATCAGGGCTGCAGCGGAGGGCGCCAAGTTTGCGCGCAAGATCGCCGAGACGGGCCCTATCTCTGCGATGTGGGAGGCCGAGACTGAGCCAGGCCCAGATATCCAGACCGATGAGAAGTTCAGCGAGTTCGCAGTCAACACGGTCAACAGCTTTTACCATCCTGTTGGCACTTGCTCTCTGCTGCCTCGAGATGACGGTGGTGTTGTAGATGCCGATCTTAAGGTGTATGGAACTACTAATTTGCGCGTGGTGGACAATAGCATCATTCCCATCATTCTCTCTGGTCACATCCAGACGGCTGCGTATGGAATTGCAGAGATTGCCGCTGCAAAGATCATTGCCCAATCAGGCTAAATACAAATGTAGTAAGATATCATACGTGCTTGTTCATTCATTTAGATTGATTCCAAGAGTGTCCTAGTTGGCTTAACTAATAAGACTCTTGCCTGCAAACGTTGAAGACCACTAGTCCAGGCATCCTAGCGACTTTGTTCTGAGATCTTAGTCCGCAGCTGTTCAGTGTAAACGCTCGTTCCCATCCTATTAGACTAGAGGTCTGACAAAGTCTAAAACTTCCTCAATATTTCGAATTACGCGGTGACTCTCAATCTTCGTTCCATCGTCCGAGTCCGAGTTATCGCCTGATTCAGGGGCGTACAACAATGCGCGCAATCCCGCTCCCAAAGCCCCCGTGATGTCTGCTCTGGCCGAGTCGCCGACCATCAAAATTCGTTCTGCCTCATACCCTAGCATGTCGATGACAAATTGGAATGCCCGCCTATCCGGCTTACTGTATCCTATCATCTCTGAGCTAATCAGACAGTCGACGAGAGGAAGTATGCCAAGAGCAGCCGCCTTTTCCTCCTGGTGTTTCTGTTGTCCATTTGTGAGGATGACGACAGGTATTCCCATAATTTTCAACCGTTGCAGGGTCTCCAGGCTGTAGGTGGTTGTCCTGTATGCGGCTCGGTAAATTGCCTTATGTCTGTCTCGAAACCTTTCCATCTCAGCCTGTGATGGAGTTGGAAGACGAAGAGAGGTGAAGAAATCCCGGACCTTCTCGATGTCTTTCTCTTCGTAGGTAATTTTCTTTGCGAGATAATCATCGTAGGCGCGATTAAGTGAACGTTGGTAAACAAGGTTGAGCAATTCGATGGGAAATTGTTTTAATCCGGGCCACATACTTTGCAGTTTTGCCATGGCCTGTATCGAGGAATGAGTATGGTCGAACAAAGTACCGTCCAGGTCAAAGATGACCGCATCGAAAGGGCGATCATTCTGCGTGGGTTTGGCGGACATGGCTTATGTTCTTTGCGAAGTTGGATTGTTGTTGTTGTTGTATTTAACGCCGAGGCGGCAAGGGCGCAACCGCCCTTGCGGCCGACCTCCCGAAGGGTATATGGCGTGAAGGGCCGCAGGCTCAAGCTATATACTCTAAAGTACACTCCTCTTCCTAACGTCCTC